TTAAACAATTTTTTGTGTGCAAAAGATCATCATTTAAACATCCTTTTTGAGTTTTATTTTTTTTTTTTGGCGTGAGAAATCCCGTATGCGCATGAGAGCGTGAAAACAACCTAAAATTCATTAGTCTTACGCTCAATGCGTGAGAGTTGGCAGCCCTGCATATATACAATGTATAGCCAACAGTTAATCTTAAAGATGAATGTCATGCTTTGGAATGAAAGTGTCGTTGCCAAGGACATTCATTCCTGCTATGACTTTGTGATTCATTTCTTAATGATTGGCATTTCTCTGAAAGTGATCCTAAAAGTTAAGCATGTTTACAACAGGAATGAGTACAAAGCGCAGGGTGAATCATATAAATGCCAGTGCATTCATAATTCACATTCTATTTTAGTAATTATACCCAAATGACCTTCACATTTTATGGAACCCAATTAGGATGAAATTTGTCTTTAATTTGCTATCCTTTCAGCCAGCTGTGGTTGTCAGCTTTGCACATCTGCATGCAGATCATTTCAGGATTTTCCCCTTAACAACCAAAACGGATAAATACACAGTAATGCATGAAAATCAGTTGGAAAGGTTTGAATCAGTTTACATTCAATGGATTATTGATGTTAAAGGTCCATCAGAGCGCAGCCCCAAATTAGAGGAATTTTGCAACCCACGAAAGAGTTGCGTTTGTTGCATTTGTCAAACGGATGGGCCACTGCCTCCTTTAACAACAATTTTAGTATTTTGTACCAAACAAAATTCAAACCTCTCTGAACATGTTAAGTAGGCGAAAGATTTGTCAAATTTTTGATGGCGCGTATATGTGTTCAAATCAGGGTCACTGTTGTATGAAAATTGATTGATGGCTTTCTGAGGTTGTTATGATTTTTTTCCCCAGCATATTATGCAATAATATGCAATGATTCTTGAGTTGAAATTTGGCAAGCAGTTTTGTTGAGGGTGGCGAACCGTGTATTTCTTTTGATTGGGGTTGGGTAGGGCAGTTATGGTGCTCCATATGTGCCATCGGCATCGCTTTTTTGGGCGTCGAATTTTTTAAGCTCTGGCAGGGATCGATTTGATAGATTTCATGCAAGACTTTCATAGCGTATTGTGCACTTGCACTTGTTTCAATGGGTTGGCCTTTTAGTTGTGAAAACATGTTTGTTTTGTTTGTGGCCAAAAAAAATTGTTAATGCATATGGCCGCATTCAGTAGACCAGCGTCTCTGTTTGTGTTGTAGCTATCTCCATCTGGCTGTCCCTTAATATGCGCCATGTGAGCGTTTGGCCTTTACGAAGGTACTTTCACCTTCATCCCCCCCCCCCCCCCCCCCACCTCAGAAAGGCATCGTTGACCGTAAACAGTATCGATCTCCTCTCGTCTCTCTCCCACCTTGGAGGCCTGATGGAGGAATTCAGTCTGCCTGTGAAAAGCAGCTCAGCGAAGTGGTCAGGGAGAACTGGTTTAATTTGGTTCAGGTGTTTTTTTTTTCAGGAGAAAATGACATGGGCACAACAAAATAAATCATATTTATGGGGAAGGCTGTCAGATTTGTTTGTTGACAGCTGGTGGGTACATGGGCAATCCGTACATGCTTGCAACCTCGGGGTCTTGGGAATTGTGAGTTGGACATTGGGATAGATTTGCACAAAAAAATCACCCTTCTTATGATGTAAAGTCTAGTATAATTCAGTTCTCTTTAATCCTTTCACTCACTTGGCATTGTTGCTGGGATGCTTCATGTTGCTGGGACGCTTCATTATGCCAAATAATTACGACAGTATGAGGCGGTTTAGCTGTAAAGCCCGAATTCCTGCAAAAGAATGCAAATGGCAAATTTGATTTTAAGGAATTAAGTACTTAGGAATTAAGTATTTAAAACAAAAATTTGTAATGGGGTAAAATGGGGACAGTTGCAACCAAAAATGAATACAAAAATGCTGGGCAATCTCGGAAACTACATTTACTGGTATATTTAGCAAAGAATTAATGCATGTCATTTCACAGAAATTGTATGCGTACGTAAGCAGCAAATTCTGAAGGTATGTGTGTACTTTCGACTCCATGCAAGCTTCCCATCCAGCCTCAGTAAGAATGTCCCAGAATGTACATCAACATGGAATGCATACATTCCTGCATGCACTTCCATCCTCCGCCCCCCCCCCCCCCATGAAAAATGCAGGACCTAAGTCTAATATGGTACGTGCTGTTTTGTTGTACCAAAAGTAGACCATACATGCCTATCTGCTCCGTTCACAAGTACCCCCTCACCGGCAAAGAAAGTACAGGGGTTGACCGACCGACGCCATCTTGCCTGACTGCAATTTTGCCGCGACGCGCGGCCACCACTATCACTGCGTGTACATAGTACAACTGAATCCCTTGGTGTACGTGCGTCACACACAAGGAACGGTGCGCGTCAACGAACGAAATGTCCCGCCCATGGGACATCGTTGCTAGGTAAAAGGGCGCCCTCTTTCGTTGGGGCACGGAGCCCATACAGACTATATCACATAAGTTTGTAAAGGAAATTGGATGTTGTGGTCACATGATGCCAACTTTCAGCAAATGTTCTCTTCTGCACTGCATGCGTATCTGTTGAAATATGAATGGTTTAAAAGTGTTGACAACTGTTAAAAACGTGGGGAAAAATACATGTAACATGCAAAAGATGCTTAAAAATTTGGGTTGCCTGTCAGTTGCCCGTCGGTACGACGTCATAGCTGTGATGTGGTCTTGTTACCAAAAAAATTCCAAAAGTCCAACTGCGTTCAGTGGGAAGAACGAAAAACATGTTGCTTTCCAGCTTCCAAACCTATCAATGTGACGTCCCGCTGAGATTAGATTGAAGCTGTGAAAACCACGCTCAGACAATATAACTCAATAAGCACCGAGAGACTCAGACTAGAGGGTGCATTTAACAAGGTAATCATGTCACGCAGCAGCGGCTGAAAAACGATCGATACATTTAACTGCCATTTGACGTGTGAGCTTTTATCATGCTGTTTTGATGTTTGTATAGGTTAATCACGCATCAACTCAAATTGGGGAATGGTGTTACAATGTACCTTTGAAAGTGGCTCTATAAATGTTTTTGTGTTGGTGTTATTTTAATCGACCCAAAAGTAAGTAGCAGGCACTTTTCTGAGCAGCGCAATAGTCTTGCAAGATTTTTTTTTTAATTTCAATTGATTTGTTTGAATGTGGATTCAAGAACTTCACTCGGTCTTATTTTTGTCATGCATGAGACATACACATATGTTTTAACAAGGCTTTATAACATTATTGAGTTGTGTCGTTTTAAAGTTACAATCTACCGGTACATGTATGCATAATTTACATTTATATATGTATCCACTTAAAAATAATTGTAATTTTATCACTCTTTCGATGCACATTTGTGTGCAGTTTGTTTAAAAAAAATAAATAAATAAATAAATAAATTGATAGAGAATTACCTGCAGGAAAATGTCAAAAGCTGCATTTACATTGAACCTAATTAAGAAGTTATTGGGAGTGATTGTTAACATTCCATTGTGTTATTCTACCCTACATCAGCACTTGGATTAATTTCTGGCCGCAAAAACTTTTTGGTTCATAAAACTAACAAAGTAATTCTTCTGCGACCCAGTTTGCCCTGTAAAACTTACCACTGCTGAGCATAATACTTACAATCAACAGTCAACACTTGACAATTTGGGAAGTTTATACAGGCTGTCCACACTGCATTTAACTTGGTGAAGTTAACAACAGTTTCTCTATAAGTTTTACCATAGTGATGCTAACCCAGCTTTAGCTCTTTTTTACAATAACGTGTAAGTAAGATTTCAGGCTTTGCATGGTGGAGAAACTAATGAATGAAAGGTTTCCGGAAACACCATGTGCGAATGATTTCTCAACTAAGAGAATGGTTCTGAAAAGAACCAGCTAGGTATAAAATCTTGAGTTTATACCTATATGAGTATAAGCTAGAGTTTATACATCTGGTTCTTTTCAGAACCATTCTCTTAGTTGAGAAATCATTCGCATATGGTGTTTCCGCAAACCTTTCATTCAAAATAACGTGTATTTTTCTTCCAAAATGCCTTTTCTGTACTGTACCGGTATGGTATGTCATGATGTAGAGCCCATTGCAATGTATGCAGAGTTGCCAACCATTACTCTTTTGGAGTAATTATTAGGATTTTGAGGCATGTTACTACTCTTGAACATTCCAGCTGTCCTATACGCCAACATTGTGGTTACTCTGAAAAGTACTGTGGTTACTCTTAAACTTGACTGTTGTCCTATGTATTTACATTAGCATTACCCTCTGCAGGAAGAATCATTACTATTTTGTAGTCTGTAAAGTTGGCATCCCTGTGTATGGCATACTGTGCCTTTCTAGATGATATTACATGAAAGCTTGAATACCGTATACCATTTTGGTGACCCATTGACTCCTTTTGGATATATCTGAAAACACAAGTCTGAAACAAAACAAAACCCAAATTGGCACGATAGCCCCTAGATGCACAGCAGTGTCCAGGCAGGAAGGCCTTGATTAGAAGGCCTGTCCATGTGCCACCCAGCCTGTCTCCATGCTGGCTCCTAGGCCATGGACAGCTGACCTTGTCAATTAGTGTTTGTGACTTGTCAGTTATATGCCTAATTGTTTGTCATGTCAAAATCGGGAAAAATTGGGGTTTTTTTGTGCACAAACCCAAAACTTTTTGGGTGAGCATTGGGCTGTCATCCCCAAACCCAAAACTTTTTCGGGTGAGCATTGTGGGCGTCGTCAACAATGCGTTCATATGTCTCTCTTCATTGGTCGCCCCCTATTCTTCCATTTCACCGTAGCGGGAGTACAACCGTTTCCCTTGCATCACTTTAAGGGCAATTCCACGGTTACTCACGTTACGTTTTCGTAACATGAGTAACCGATTTTGTGCGTCTTGTTTATCATACATTTTTCTGTATGTCATCTTTGGTGCTCAGGTAGGTCTAGGTCTACTCTATTAACCATGGGGATCAACCTTTTCAGTAAGGTAATTACAGCCCAAGGAAACTCAAAATTACATCAAAAATGTAACGTGAGTAACCGTGGAATTGCCCTTAAGATGTTTGAAGTATGGAAAATGGGTACATGTTTAACTTTGCTGACCTACAAAAAAGGGGGCTAAAATCTTGAATGATGTACATGTACTGTAATAACCTGGAACTTTGTCCAGGAGTTTTATGGTCAAATTTACCATGAGCCAGTTTTCTTGGGTGCCATAGATTTTACTGTAATCTACATTAATCCATAGGATGCATGCCCCATTAAGTACATTGGCCTGTCCTTAAAGTTGATAAGTCTCAGACTTCAGGCTTCATTTTTGTAACATGTTGTGGATATAGATACATTTTCTTCAACTGAAACATCAAATTCAGTGTCTGCGATAAGAATCCAAAGGTGGAGACCAAGCCATGATTTCCCAAATGGTCATCATGTTTATGGGAGTAATCTGTCCACACCCTACGGTCCTGCTACAGTTAGAGCATGATTTGTATTTACTGATATGCCCTCTGCCAAGGCTGCCCTTTAGTTTATATCAGTTGACAGTTTATCACTTATTACTTTGATTTATTACTAGGAGCCTTCTGTTATTTGACATTAAACTGTCATGGGGAAGGGCATATGCCCAGAAAGGGGGGGGGTCCTCTGTTTTAAACTACAACAGGGGCCAAGTTTACTAGGGCTATGCCAAATGTACCAAATTCCTGAATATTTTATCATCCGCCGGATCTTCAAAAAGCATTTTTGTATACTGTTATGTTGTTTTAAATATTCAAAACAATTGAGTGGTCTTGAGATGATGGAAAAAGTCTGTTACGTTCTTTTAATCATACATTGTGAGTTACATGGTTTTATTGTTTGTCAAATGGTACACTTTGTTTTGAACAAAATCCACTTAACACGCATGATTTGAGACCTGCCATGAGAAATATAAGCTCAAATTTCTACTGCTGATTGCTAAACGAAATGTTACTTTTTCTTGCTCTGACGGTTCAATTTTTATATCGAAGTCCTATACCATTAAAACAAAAGTAAATACGTTGAAACTATCAGGTAGAAATAAACATGTATAACAGACACGTAATGTCGATTTCTGACATTTCGTTCTTCAGCATTAGGTAGAAATTCACAAATTATTGAGGAATATTTTGGGGGAAAAAAGTCAAATTTTGTTTCTGTTTTCAGCCTATCCAATAGCAAAACATCCGGAAATTGCTTTAAAACAGAGCCATGTATTTTGTTTGATATTAAAATGTGCGGTCCGTATTGGCATATTCAGTATTTCTTACAGATCATATATTGGCTCAATGATGAAAGTGAGGTCAGTTCAATTACTTAAACTCTGTAGCGACGTCGCCAGCGTCCCTGGCGATTCGTTGCTGGCGCTTCAGCAACAACTACAAACTATGTATAAGATGATCGAGCGTCAACTTTTTAGTCGCGCAACCACCGGCGCGACCAAGGGCGGATCCAGAACACAATTTTTTTTGGGGGGGGGGGGCAAAAAAAATTTGGTCCCCCCCTAAAGTGGGTCAAAAAATTACGGGGTGAGGTTCGAGGCCCGCTTAAGGGCCCCGAACAATCTTTGGATTCTAGATGCTCTGTGGTACGATCCGAGGTAATTTCTGGCCACTTTAACCAATGTTTTTTTAGGAAAAGATGGTGGTGTACTCATTGCCTGCCTTTATTGCGACTTCACATAAAAAAAAAAATTGGTTTCGTTTTGAGGGGGGGGGGGGGGGGGGGGGGGCGCCATGGCCCCCTTTGGGCCCCCCCCCCTTGATCCGCCCTTGCACGCGACTGACTATAAACTGGCCTTAACTTGGTTCAAATGCCAGTGACAATATTTGTTTGTTACAAGAAATCCAATAGTTTAGGCTCCCTCAATCTGCCTGTCATAAAAAAAACCTGTTTTCTTTACGTTTCTTAACTGTGTTTCAGTATGAAGTATTCCAAGTACTAAATTCTGGAGTGCTGGACGTTGACACCTACCTCAGGGACAGCAGGGAGGAATCAGGGGAGGATCCTTACAAGAGACACGCCTTCAACCAAGCAAGGAGCGACAGTATACCCATCGATAGAAACATTCCTGACACAAGAAACTATAGGTGAGCAGTAGCAACACATCAAGCAGTTATTCATGAGGGGTTTGCCCAAAATTGAAAATCAAACTGAAAATTCAAAAGAGAGAGGGCGGGACATCATTTAACGCTTGGGGCGCTGTTCTTGATACACACGAAGACAATGTGTACTGTACATAGCTGCGTGGCCATATTTTACAGTGAAGGTCCCTGAAGAGCCCTTTTACTGTAAACTTTACTTACATTTAATAGCTAAGGTAAGTGTTCGTCTGACCGCTTTATTTTTTTCGTTTATTTAGGCCAATTATTTTTTTTTTTAAATTGTTGGTCATCCGGGCGTTTTTAGAAGGAAGGAGGCGGCCCTTTGACTGTTTTTTTCCCCCAATTTTTTTCAAGATGGCAGATTGATTCTTTTATTTTCCTGACTCTTATGCTGATACTTCAGTGTCCAAATGTTGAAAATGTTGCATACATAGCTATTATTTTTGCTGGAACAAATTAAAGACAGAAGATATTGCAAAATATGATTTAAAAAAAATTAACAAGGGGCGGATGGGAAAAAATTAACGCAGCGGGCGGGCACAAGAAACTGGTTTATATGTTTACTTGGCCTTACCCAATGCTGGAATATAAAGTGTAATAGTAAACTAATACACATTCCAACATTCAACATTAATGTTACGTTAATCATTCATCATCACTCAGTCGGTCTCAACACAGTATGTTTATATTGCAGTGGACCCTCAAATCAAATCAAAAAAATATTCCAAATAACGTATAAAAATTGTCATTTCTAGAACATTGAGCCAATTATCGCCCACGCATTTATCCTTCCAGACAGAAGTGTTGGGCCATTAGGAAAATTTTGTCCAAGGGAAGTGTCAGTCTGGAGCTGCTGCAATGGCTCAGTGGACAGAACTACTGCAGGATTTTGATAGCAGGGTTTTATTGCCGTTGGGGCATTTGCGTTGAGCTTTCCTTTCAGTTTTCCGTATAGTGTTTCTTTCCTTTTCGTTTTGTTTTGCATGTTTATTTTAGAAAGCTGTTTATTCAAATGGTGACAAAAGAGCCGGATTGTCTAAAAAGAATTTAATAACTAGTTTCAGTTGTTATTTCTAAACAAATGAAATTCATATCACATTCAAATTCATATCTAGAATTTTTTTGACAATTGGCAATGGTGGTAGCATGTTTCTGGATATGAAAAGCTTAGTAAGCACATGCATTGGTATGTACATTGTAAGTCTCTCATATCTCCCCCAAATGAGCCCAGAAGTTAAAACTGAGCACGCTACATTGAAGCACCAAGTAGACTGTGAAGGAGAGGAATGGCGCGTGACGTAGAAGCTTGGCTCACTGTTGGGAGATGGTGAAGATGTCGCCCATCATATAAGCAGCTAGACAATGTAGCATTCCACAAGATGAAAACACTATGGCTACGGCGTCATCATGTGAGTGAGGAACTCTGTCTGTGCCTCTACAACACGTTCGTGCTCCCTGTACTCCTCTACAACATGGGTACCTGGGGCCTCACTCGAAAAACAGAACAACCAACGGGACTCATTCCACCGAAGCCAATTATGACAGATCATTGGCATGTGGTGGCCACGTCGCATCTCCAACGAGGCACTCTACCGTCGCTGCAAGTGTGGTCCACTCAGCATCAGGGCCCTTGAAGCATGCTGGTGACTCTTCGGCCATTTCCTGCAGCAACCGAGAGATGTATCCATTCATAAATTCATCGACGAGTACTTCGGCACAGAAGCAGGCATGGAAGGCCCGCGAGGATGCCCTCTCACCAAACTACCAAGCGTTCTGAAGAACAACCTGAAGACGGTAGGCAAGTGCCTACACAACACTGCCAATTTAAAGCTGCTGACAAAGGAGGAGTGGAAGGCGCTAACGAGAAAAAACGTCAAGACGACAGAAGCAAAACTGACAATTTTTATGACAGCAACATTAAACACCCCCCCCCCCCCCCTCCCCGAGTGAAAGTTGGAAAAAATCACTTGGGTGGGACTCGAACCCACGACCTCCTGCTTTCTAGTGCAGACGTCTTACCACTCACATTTAGATGTTGTTGATACAAAGTATCCTTTTGACCCACAGGTTGAATTTCATCACGAGGACAGATTTTGGGATGGCATTTGGATGGGGATGTTAGAAAGAAAATGTATCCTGCAAAAACTGCTCTGAAGTTAGACATACTGAAAGGCAAATCTGATCACTACATTGACAGATAATTTAAAAAAACTGAATTCTTCTGACAGAAGGAAATCTGTCACTTACGTTTTCACAGAAATCGGGAGTCCCACTTTCAAACTTTGAAATTTATTTTATTGTTCAATAAATTTCTAAATGGATACTAATCAAATGAACCACAAAGGGATACTGATGTCATTAGTCTGTAAAATATTGATTCTGATTCGCAAAGTTTCTTCATGGTTCCAAGCCAACATGCTGTCTTTTAATTCTACCAAAAGGAATTACATGGTTTTCAGCAGATCTACAAATATCCCTGCTACTTCACATATTTTCATACAGGACACTCGTATTGACCAAGTTCACTCTACAAAGTTTCTCGGTGTTATTATGGACGGCAAACTCTCCTGGTCAGCTCACATCTCTCATATCTCCAAGGTTATCTCCCGGAACACTGGCATTATTTCTAAAATGCGTCACTTTCTTCCAAGCGACGTTCTTTTCTCACTTTACAATACCCTTATTCTTCCTTACTTAAACTACTGCAATATCGTTTGGGCTCATGCACATATTCTTCTAAACTCTATTCACTAATTGTCATTCAATCTGTACTCACTCCCTACCACGCGATCATACTGCACATCTTCTTGTCAAATTACACACTCTCACCCTGCCTGATGTTAATAAGCTTCAAACTGGCTTTTTCAAGTTCAAGTTTACTAATAATCGCCTTCCTGATACGTTTTCTTCTTTCTTTACTCCAGTTAACGTCATTCACCACTATCACACCAGATCACACAGCAACCTATACATATACATGTACCTTTCATGCGCACATCTCATTACAAGAACAGACTTCGCTTCTACAGCCCCAGTCTTTGGAATAGCATTGGCCAATCAATTAAATCCAAAACCTCTGTGGGTTCTTTTAAGAATTCTTTCATAGAGTTTCTTATTTCCCAATATGTATCATAGTTTTGTTGTTTTCCTTTGGTTTGTTCTCCAGTATTGCCACCTCTCTTGCAGTTTTATGTTTTTTTTCCAGTTATTTTTCTTAATTTATTTCTGGTCAGCTCATTTTGTCCTCTTGTTTATGTTTGTCTTTGACTTAATTAATCAACTATTTGATTATTTCATGTCTTTGTTCTCTTTTCTAAAGGCACTCCGCTACAAGCCTTGGCTTATTAGGATTGTGCCTCCACAATATCGTATTTTGCTTTCTGTTATGTTATTGTTTCAGTATGGAAATAAATGTAATATTGAATTGAATTGTAATATTGAATTGATTTCACTATTTGTCTCTTACAGGTGCCAAAGTATAAACTATGATATTGAAAACCTTCCACCTACATCCGTCATTATAACATTCCACAATGAGGCCAGGTCAACATTATTAAGGACTGTTGCAAGGTAAGACCGTGCAGTATATCCAAATGGAGCAGTTTCAAATGTTTAGTTCAAAGCCGGTTAGGGGCCTAGGCCCAATTTTATGGCACTGCTTAACAGTTAGCTGAAAAGTTGTGCTCACCATAGCAGAAAAGTTGTGCTAACTTATTTCACGGCATGGATTTTTTGCTTTGAGGTAATTTGAATTGATTTCACTATTTGTCTCTGTGCTTACTGCTTATGGTCTCCATGAAATGTACGGAACCTCCGTTAACGTAAAATCGCGGAACCTCCGTTAACGTAAAATCTTGTGCTTAGCACTAGCAGTACCATGAAATTGGCCTCAGGATTGCTGATAATAACCAAAACGAGCATCAAATGTCCAAAAAAACCTTCCAGAATTTGAAATTAGACAAAAGCAGAATTTTTTTTTTTTGGTCCTAATTGAGTAGCCATGTTTATTATATGCCGGTTTTAAACACAAAACCACCCAAGTGATGAGCTTTCAACAAATAGGAATGGGTAAACTGTCTCAGGTATATAAGGCCCCCCCCCCCCCCTCCCCAGAAAAAAGTCTTCGGTTTTTGGTATGGAGCTTGCCCCAAAAGTGGTGTGGTGACGCGGCTTTTTTTTTTTTTTTTTTTTTTTTTTACTTTTTTTTTCTTCAAATGTCGGCTGATGACTGCAAATGGTGCCTGACTAAATTTAGTGCAAAATGTGTGGGAGACCAGATAGGCCACATAAAGCTTATACTCGATTGTAACTAAAACATGTTTAAATTGTGCAGCAGCAGGATTCCAGTCAAACCAATGAGTTTGGTGGTTTTGAGACATCATCTTACATTAAAAAAAAACCGTTTTAATTTTGCCGACGCGCATGACTACGGCAAGGTGCGCACAGACCAGAAACCGGAGACTTTTTGGGAGTCTAATGTATGAAGATTTTTTTTCAAGTTGAAGAAACAGACATACAACCAATTACAGGTACAGTGTATTGGACCAGCTTGATATAGGCCAGATCACATGCCCATCTGTCAACAAGAGATCAGGTAGAATTGATGGCCTAACCCCTCCTAGATCCTTCAAACGCCCACCTGGGGACTTGAGAGGATTTTGTGGGATTAAGGAACGGGATTGTGGGCTTGGTTTCTTTTGAAACGGGACTTGATGCGTTTTGATAATGCAAGCCCAGAGAAAAACATACTACGGATTGGTTTCCTTCACAGTCGCGATGGTGGATTGGAAGAATCAGGAATGTTATTTGCCAAAAAAACACAAGAAAGAGGAGTAATGGTTACAAGATCTAGAAGAAGATATTGATGATGGATATTTAAGAAAATGGTTGAAAAGTAATTTTATTGTTGTTTTCAAAGACCATCTACTGTAAATCGTGACCCAAGCTACATGTACAGGAATATTGTAACTCATATACAGGCATAAAAATTTTCAAATTTTGCTTGAATGCAGTCTTTCTGAATATGAGAGAAAGACATTTATCAGTATAGAAAAAAAATGCATCTTTCAGACCTTTCATTCAATTTTCAGAATTTTTTTATAGGCAATCTCATCCCTGCAAATAGAGGGAGGTCTTCCAAATAACTGATTTCAGGTTGCAGGCCAGTAAAGAAATTCCCACACACACCAATGATAAATACCTGCACTTAAAAAAAAAATGAGAAAAACACTCACAGCTCACCAAGGTGTTCAAGACACACATCAAATTAAAGGCTGGATCAACCATCTGTTCAATTTATGTGGGGTTGACCGATGACTTTTGGGGATTTTTCCCTCCGTAGATGATTACCTTTTCAAAGCAGTTCTGAGGTCATTGCCATCTTGGAAATGATCCACCCACTCCATTGCAAAATGAGTGACTTTCCGATCCAATTTCGTTCACATATTCTCAGCAAATTAAATTTCCAAGTCTGGATTAGACCTTGGACCCTTGCATGTTGCAAACCTCCAAGTGCAAGGGTCGCAAAACTCTTATTAAAGGTAGGGTACAGATCAGCTGTCATTTGTGCATTTTGTTTTTGTTTGGAAAAAAAATGCTCAAAATCTCAAGAAGGGTGCTTAACAACTAACCTGATGAAGTTTTAGCTCTGTGAATGCTGTATATTCTGAGAAAACAATATTCTAGGATCTCAATTTCAATTTGAAAGTTGCTGAGTCCTGTTTTGAATTGCGCCCAAAATCAGAGTCCGGGACATATTCTTGTTCAGCTGATTGCAGCTACGGGATGTCATGCACTGAACCAATGAATAATATTAACTGCGTGCACGCAACGTCAACGCTTGCGGCATCCGTTCAAGGATTCACCGAATCACAAACCAACTTCTAACGGAAATTTCCAAAAATGTGTCACTTGACGCATCTTTGGTAATGGCCTTCTTAAATTGTTTTCTTCAAAATGACAGCATGCCAGAAAGTAGAATTTCACAGGGTGTTTATTGCTATGCCCATCTTTAAACCAAACAAGCTTTTCAATAATAATTTTGTCAGTTACTTTTTGGATAGCTGCAGTTGATCTACTCTAGCTTTAAGAAAGGAAACTGAGTGCATTCGAATGGGGATTTGGTCGGTGTGGCCAATTTTAGGCCTATTTACTGGTCTGCAATCGTCAATGCCAGGCTGAAGTTAGCAAGGATTTTGTCAATTTGTTGACATCGCTGTGCACAACCCACACCATCGGTCATCTGTTGTGCCTAATCCTATATACAGAAACACATATCGTGCGACAGTTGTGAAGATGGGGAAAACATTGTGTTGTTCCGGTACTTGTGAATGCTAGATTCCATAGCAAGGTATAGAGTTAAAAAAAACCAACACTTTGAGTGGTGCTGATTGGGTATTGTGTGGTTGTCAGCGATTTAAGAATCTGTGATTGATACCAGTCGTGCCCTGTTCTGAATGGCCATTTGGTGGGATGGGGAGTACATTATCTACTTGGGTTTGGTTGCTGCTACAAAGTCACCGTAAGTGACTTTAAATTAGAGGAATTTAAATGAAGAAATGCCTGGTGGATGGAACTGGAGTGGTCTTCAAGTGGTTATTTCATTGGGCACACTATTCACTTTGTGGACTACATGTCAAAATTTGCGGTCTCACAGTTATAAGGCCCCAACCTCATTCCCATGGGTACGATCTCGCTGCGCCATGTTGGTTCCCATCATGCCTTGTGCGATCTTAACCCCTGGAATTTTGTAATTTAAATAGCCACTATTTGGGAGATTTAAAATAGGACTGCAGTCGATGTGTTTAATGCCAACGCAGTGCTTTCCATTTTGAAGAATCCAAATTTTAGAATAAATTCTTTCAAAGATGAGATTTCGACGTTGCTTTGCTAAAATTTATAATGTGCGTACCTCTGCTGTCGTCCATTTCCAACACAAAAAAAGGGTTGGGTTTTTTTGCGAAAAACAAGGCTTCCAGACTTTCCATATCGTAGAGGCAGTCTTGAAAACAGTGTTCGTACGTGACGTGACATGAAGGAGATTGAATGCAAGCAAATGTGTGCAGCCTTCGAAATCTACACGCAGTACCTCTTTGGGTAGTCAATCAGCGTCATTTTTGCATTCTACACGGCCAGGTGTTAGTGAAGGAATGCGCACGCAGCCCATGTAGTCCAGGTTAATATGACCCCTAATGCCAAATTTTGTCCAAAGGTCCTTATTTACAAAATTTGGTTGAGTTGTCAATTAAGCACCCCCAAAACAGCAAAACTTAGCTTCAAATATTTTTACTTCAAATATTTTTTTTCTAACTAAAACTTGAGACAAATAATTGAGCCAAAAGCCTTTGCCAGATATGTTTTGACTGCTAAGGACCTTTTAGCTTTCATTTTATGAATTGTGAAATACAGTTGTACAGTGTACAATGTAAGTGGGCCTTTTGAAAATGGGTCATTCTATACATTTAATTATGAATAGCAGACTATCTACCCAATGTATACACCCCAAAAAAATAGAAATGTCATTATTGATGATGCTTGAATGATAAATCACCAAGAATCGTTACCAAGGTTTACAACAATAGGGACAGCAAAAAGTAACATTTTGGACCCTACTTTTATAGAATGACCCACCTACCACAAAATGACAAGAGAAACATAATATTCCCAGTCACATGCATTTGCACATGCACATATATGTTCATCGTCTGTATTCACATCATTCCAATATTCCCTTGTGACTTTAGTGGATATGAATGATTACTGTGCATCATGTCTCTATGCTGTCTGGACTATATTCATTGGAACAGTTTTGACTTCTTTTGTAATGTCCATGTATCATGGCAACAATAACAATCCAGCTGGCAGTTCAGTATTGTAATTAATTGCTTCTTCACAGTGGCGTAGCAAGGTCATTTTTATGGGGGGGGGTAAATTTTTGTTGAAAAGGGTATTTGCACATCCGTGGTGAAATATAGACACATTTTTTTTTACGGACATGTGGCCTCCGTAAAAGCAACAAGCGAGCCCCCCCCCCCCCCCTACTATCTATCGATTGGGGCGCTGTTCAAAAGCGACTATTATGCACACTAACGGAAAATATATGGTGCTTTTCAGGACAATACATGTGTGAAATTTAACAAAAAAAGGCACCTGGAACGGCTAATGACACAACAAAGGCCATGACTTCTTTTTAAAAAGGGCCCTTATTTTGACCAAAAAATGGCACTTCTTAAAAAAAAAGGGCACTTTTTACAAAATATCGGGAGTAAGGGCTGGTGAAAAAGAGGCCATTTTAATGGAAAAAGGGCAGTCTTTACAAAATATTGGGGGGGGGAGGAATAACCCCCTTAACCCCCCCCCCTCCCCCCAACATTACATAAATCTGCCACAGTTGCTGTCAAATATTGGCAGAAATTTGATTGCAATTGGCAAAATGAAAAAACTTCTTCCAGCCTTCAGCAGTGAGTTTAGAGTTTAATTTATTTCACATACTTGTTTTATGCAGAAGAAGTCTTTGGAATCAGTTACTAACTAACTGAATCAGGTCATTTTTGTAAACGCTATTAAAGCTGTCTAATGAGAAGAGACAACCACAGATATGGACCCTGAAAGTAACAGATTGGACGCCATTATCATTGAAGAGGCGAAGAGGAAGACAGCCTAAGAGATGGCGAGATGAAATCTCTGATTTCATAGGGAAGAAATGGAAACAACTGGCAAGGGACCGAAAAGCATGGAAAGTTAGTGGAGAGGCCTTCATCCAGCAGTGGATTGAATTAGGCTAATGATGATGATGATGAATTCTGGAAAAACAAAAAAATTCATGCTGCCATTCACTGATCTCTCCAACACATGCACAAACTCTTGTCTCTGAATCTCGGGGCAACTCTCAGTCCAGAAGTTTTGGCAATTGACAAAAACCAACTAAGTACATGTAGGCAATCATCAAACTCTATTCTTCCATCTCAGTGAGTTCCAACTCAAGTGGAGCGGTCGGCCAGCCCTGGACACCAATTTCTTGTGGTTCAGGCAAGCGGAAAAACGGAGCTAATGAAGGTTTACTGCAATTGATTGAGATTAATTTGTTTACCGGTCTGGAGTCCAGCCGGACAATGCTTGTTTGGTTTTGTGTTGTACAAATCTGACTTTTTCAGGAGTATCCAATATGCCAGTTTAATGTCGCCATTGTTGTGTAGTTCTATTATTTGTGCATTTAGTGGAATCGAGAGACCGTCTTGAAGTCCCTCTTCACAGTAGTTGTCTCTTTTGGTTAGACAAGCGATTTCTAAGAGTTCCTGTCTCTCAAAAGCAGAATGCTTCAGCTCCATCCTGTGAAAGATTTCAAGGAGTCCTTGTGTACAGTGTAAAGATCCATTCATGGTTGGCTTTAATCTGTCCGGCCTGTTTCTTCAGAGAAATAAACCAGCAGGTTGACATTTTGCATGATGTTTTTTTTCTCTTCACTAGAAATTGCTGCAGTTCTCTTCAGGACATGTCAAGCAAAATATCCCACTAACTTTAGAGGAGAGTTGGTGATATGTTCTTTCTCTCTTCAAATTTAAATCATTCAGAAAAGTTGAAATTGGTTGTCCACTTTTTTGCTGCTGTGATGTTTGGAACAAGTTTTATCTACAACTTTTGATTAAGCATTGGTTGATGCATGATGTAACTTCAAATTGCGTAAAGACCCTTCAAGCTATAGTACATTCATAGTAAGTAATCGTGCCTTCTTCGCATCAACTATGCATGAACCAGTGCCATCGATGTGCCCATGTAGCTATCACGAGTCATGAATGAAGCACTATGTGCTGTTCAATACCCTGAGTTCATTTAATTTGGCTGCCATTTTAAGTTCCAAGTCAAACAGAGGGTGTGCTCATATCAAAACTAGGCATGACTAAATAGTCATCCTAATAGTTCATAGGATGAAATTTGTGTCGGGGTGATGAAAATTCAATATTAGGTTTTGCCCTTCACCGACATATTTTATAAACACTGTATACTCAGTGTTGACACCCCCCCCCCCCCCCCCCCCCAGTGATTGTGAGAAAGAAAGATCAATTGGGTGGGATGCGAACCCACGATCTCCTGTTTACTATTGAAAGTCATGCATTATCTTGCCAATTAAACCAAAAAGATATGCTGGCACATATCAGCTTTGATAGAAATGGTACAACCAGATGATACTCTCCAGATCCTTAGAACCAAGGTTGTCCATTGAAAGTTATAATCTTGCTGCAAAGTTGACAGTTCTTACCAAAAAGGCATCTTTGTTGCTGCTGATACTTCAATTACAGTACCAGTACATCAGTTTCACCTTTTGTCTCTATTCCGGGCTTTGTTGAATTTTCCTTGTTTTTATAAGATTTGAGCAAATGACTGTTGCACATATTTAGGGGGGTAATTCTACTTTAGCTGCTGCTACTCTTAAGTGTATATTTGAAATGGATAGTTTACATTCTGTGTGATTGTACATAAGGTAATGGATTTTATCATGTACAATGCTGTGCACAAGTTACATGTATGTACCGTTATCACTGCGAGTGTTTACCATTACGAGTGTTACCCACGTGTACATGTCAGTCTTGAAAATGAACAATATAAAAACAATTATTACAGAATAGTCCACCAAATACCCCCGTACCCCAGATGGCTCAGTCCGAATGTTGTGCACAGGCAGGCATTATTGAAAATAAATGTCATATAAGTGGGGTTGTTGGGGTTTTTTTGGGGGGGGGGGGTTCGCATTATTTTTAATGTATTTCTATGAAAACAATTTTTAGTCAGAACTGGGGGAGGGGGGTTTCCGACCCCTCTGTCTAAATCTGAGCCTGACATTAACCAAAAAAAATCTTGCTGGGCATTATTTGCAAGAGTACGAGTGCTCAGTGTATTTCAGGTCAAAATGTTGGCTTTTAATTTTTCCTGTCCACTTTTTGCAGTGGTATGGCTTTTTTTTTTTACCTTTTGACTCATCTGCTTCCTTTTTTCCTAACCAGTGTGTTAAACAGGAGTCCATCACATCTCATCAAAGAAATCATCCTGGTCGATGACTTCAGTGACAATCGTGAGTATCCTCATCATTTTCTAGCGAGAGACTTTTGTATTGAATAGCTGTGTTTTCCCTGGCAATCACAGGAGGCAGTGTACTGGCCAATGGTTTTCAAATGATGACTGGCAAATGTGATTAAAGAGATCTGGACCTAATTTCATTGCTCTGCTTATATGTACCATTTGTGAAAAGTACAATGTACGTATCAGAAATGCTGTGCTTAAAGGGGCACTAGGTCCTGAAATCCCCGGAAATTCCATGTTTTGGATTGTTCACTTATCCTATTTCAAACATGTGGTTGAAAGGAAACCAACGTAATGTCTTACCGTTCCCGAGAAAAGAGGAAGAATCCCCGGTTGTTTACATCGGACACGACGGAGTACGAATATGTTTTTCGTGTCGTTTTCATACATTGTACAATAAACACGTTGTGTGTCTCGGGAACAGCGGTGACCAATCACCAATGCAAAAAAATGTGGTTTCTTCAACGTCCGCAAAAGGCGAACACTTTACGAATGAAATCACAACTAGCATCCAAACAGCTCGAATTTATGGGGTCGCAAAAGTGGACCCTGAAATTCGTTCTCGCGCGCATAATACAGGAATAACACAAAAACGCCCAGTTTTGAAAGGATAGTTGTGTGGATGTTTATATCCTAGTTTTAAATGTTCTTTCAGATTAACATCATCTCATTCAAAGTGCGTTTTGTAGCTCAATTGGGCTGTTCCAGGACCTAGTGTCCCTTTAACAATTACCAGTGTGCCTACTGTGTGCTTGGTACGTGTACCACAACTTCACATACATTATTGCAAAAGTAAAATGACCTGGAATAGTTGAGACACAAAAACAGATGGCAGGAAGGAACTCTTCAATGAATGGTTTAGCCATTGTGCAGTAAAGGAGCATCATGTCTAGGTTTGCAGATTTTTTGGGGCATTTTTCTTGTTTATATACAAAAATGCTTATTGGCAGTTGTTCTGTCCAGAACCATATTTTTTTAATTATTGGTCATAGATGCTTATTTCAAATAAGGCCAAAAAAAAAAACTTTTGCTTCCGATTAATACATGGCATTCGAAAATAGGGTAGGTAGGTAGGGATTTTTAATTTTGGCCAATTTTTTTTAATGTACGATCATATGGAGGCCTCTGCGTGTAGTCAAGGGTAAAAGGTATAAAGTGATGGTTTTGGGTGTTTTTTTTTCTCATTTTGCTAATAAAAAAATTAGGGTAAGAGCTGTCAGAATAGGGTGGGTAGGGAAACCGGAAGCAGAACTATTATGTTTTTAGCCTAATGTTTGATTTCAATACTCATTATGAGTTTATTTATCCTAAAAGTTTTCAAACTTTCAAAGATTCAGTTTACTACCTGTAGTGTTTAATCCAGTGTTTCTCTGGCCCCTGTTTTATTGTATTAAAGGTATACATCATTTTGCAGCTATCCAAAAATGTATTGTAACTGATGTAATTATTGTTGAAAAGCATAGTAATGGCACTAAACTCCCTGTAAAATTATTTTTTCTGGCATGCTGTCATTTTGAAGAACACAATACAAGAAAGTCATTTCCAAAGATGCATCGTAAGACGTATTTTTGGAAAATTCTGCTAGTAGTTCGTTGTTAAGCGCTGTACTATTGTAGATACCATAATGTGTGCTGATCTCGAGCTGCTGCAGAAAACTGATCTATGGGCCTGATGCATAGGACTAATAATTGTAAAGCACTTTGAGACTTCCCCGTATAAAGCGCTATTTTTAAAGGGAAGATACAACATTTGCAAACATCACAAAACGAAATGATCAAATTATCGCGAAATACCTTACTGGATTGTTAGGAAATGATAGTCTAAAGCATCCTGTAAAATCGTGGCTCCTGGTGTGCTGACATTTTCAAGAAAAATTGTATTTTTCCAAGGCCGGTCGGCTGACCAGCGTTGGAGAAAACTGGCTATTTTTCAAAAATTGCTCCGAATTTTTCATAATTCGTTATTCCGCATTTTCTTTGCAATTGATTACACACCTGTGAAGAGGTACAAGTCTGCTAGACTGATTCTCTGACCTTACAATTCCCAAAAGTCTATTAATTGCTCCGTTTCATCTTAAGTGGGGTCTGGGAACCAGACTGCAAGAACATGTTTGGTTTTCTTGATTTTTTCCAGCATCTACAAGCCCAAACGTGAAAAAGTCATTTTAACAATATTTGCTATATAACATACTAATCCTCCAAATCCATTTATTTCTGAAAACTGCAGCAAAAGCAAATGTTGTACATTCCCTTTAAGCACCACACTACTATTATTTTTGTGTTGGTTTGCATTAGGGCGACACACTGTGTAGATCCATCAGTATAACAGGCTTACATGTACACTGTATTTTCCCCCGGGATCAATTTTTGGGCAGAGACCATGCATTGATCAAACAATCGGGGAATTCTATGGTCTTGTGAAGATACACAATGCACTTGTGCATTAGTCATGGCTTTTTAAGTGACGACTGGGGCCTTTGCACTTGATCGGTGAAGTTTGAAAAAGATTTTCCGTTCATAAAAAGTTCAAGGATAAATGAATACATTGGTTAGGTTCATTGACTCCTTACTAAGTTTGGATTCTAAAGCTTCTTGTCTTTTTGTATTCCTGTCCCGAAATCAGTTTTAATTTATTCCAAAATATATAAAACTTAAATGTACCAATAGAAGCCAACACATGCATTAATCAGTTTCAACCAATATAAGAAAAGATACTAGAAATCAACAGACACCAATGAAAGTATTGGACACAATTGATAGAAGAGTCAAATCAGTGAAAAAAATCACTATAAGTTGATCTTAGTTTAAAAATACAATTAAGAATCAATCAATTAACAATACAAACTGAATATGTGCACTGTTTGTCAATTTTTTTCCCTTAAAAAAAATGTATTAAATCAGATTTAATTTATTCCAAAATGTAAAACAAAAAAATACTAAAAATTGAAGAAAATATTGCCAGCTGAAAATCCACTTTACGAATCTTCTTATGTAAAAGCAAAAAGCACTAAATCAGAAATGTACAATTTTGGTTGTAAAATTGGAGTGAGAGACTAGTTCTTAGCGTGTGAACAAATTAATTGATCTTGACTCTTAAAATACTCTTTAAGATACGCTTCAGGAGGGTTTTACCTCCTGTGGATGTAACCCCCATTTGTACTTATTTAATTTTATTGATTTATATTGATCAACTTCTTGTTATTTCTCATTGAATTTTTGTTGTACAAATGGAAATAAACAAACAAACAAACAAACTCTAAAAAAAAATTAAAAAATAGACAACTTCCTTTGTCAGTGTATCTTTTTGAAGTTGTTGTTTGGATCAGAATCCTGACAAGCTTTAATGCACATGATGAAACACGTTCCAATGATAAGATTCCATCAAAATGTCCCCACGGAATGACCAAATAAAATTAGTTATTTTGCAAACGATGGTCTGGGAATTAATGGCCTGATGAGAGTGTCATTTGTCATCCCAGGAGTGGAGGGGAAAGCTTAATTAAATGTCAAAGTACAAACTTGGGTAGGTAGAACCTTCAAGTGATGACACGTGCATATGGCCTTTGGTCATTACCCTTCCGGGCGGGTGCTAAGGAGAGAAAATCAATCCAAAATGCATTTTTGCTGGTTAGAGATAGTCCCTGACTGTCCTACAGGGGTGGCAATGCTGATTGCCAGCTGCTAAAAAAAAAAAAATTTCCAGGGGAGGGCATAATTTTGATATTTATCACAGTATTCATCCAGAGTTTCTACAGAAAATCTCTTAGTTTCCCACCGCGAACTTTTTTAGGGGTGGGGGGAAAGGGGACCAGGTGGTTACAGTTTGTTCCATTCGATATGTTTAAAGCTACAGTCTATCATTTGCAGCTATCCAAAAAGTAACTGACGTAATTATTGTAGAAAAACATACTTGGTTGAAAGATAGTAAGTGGACTAATCTCCCTGTGAAATTATTTTTTTCTGGCAAGATGTCATTTTGAAGAAATCAAGGAAAGAAGGCCTTTCCAACAGTGCATCTAAAGACGCACCATTGGAAATTTCCGTTAGTAGTTTTTTTTTTTTTATTCGGGGAAGCGCTCGCAAGTGTTGACACGACGCACACGCGGTTGCTATAATTCGTTGGTTAAGTGCATGACATTGAGTAGCTGCAATCGGCTCAGTGGGAACGTGTGTCACAGACGCTGAATTGAGTCCCAATTCAAAACATGATTCAGCAACTTTTGATTTGAAATTGAAGTCCTAGAGTGCTGTTTGTTCTCGCTTTAGCTTTAGCAACAATACTGTTTTTATTCTGTAAAGCTTCACGATCATGGACATTTTTCACTTTTTTTTTCAAATGGATGTATCGCTTTTTGGAAAAAACTCTTCATATTGCTGCTGCGGTCACCATAAAAAATGTGAAATTTGCAAAGTGACAACACACTTTAAGAGCGCCATGCACTCTTCAATAGTGTAAACTTTTCCTTTATGTATCATTCTGCACAGTATGTTTATAACTTCAAACTTCTTTTTTTTTTGGAATGAGATTCTTTGCAGGAACGCATTTTGTCAAATGCCACCACAGAGCGCAGAAATGCCAAACGCTCGAGGGAAGATCAGTGAAATATCAAAATACAACTTCATCGTGTATCCCGTTTACTTATATCTTCTTAAAAGAAAAAAAGTTTTGTAACTGTTTTTTTATTTAAGAAAAAAAATTGTAACAGAATCATCAGGAATGAATTTCACCTTTAATGGGTTTTATAAAGCTCGGTCATAATAACTGAAGCTACTATTGTAAACTCCCACCCACCTTTGCTAACCGAATCTGTTCTTGCGTAGCCTGATCCCTAGCATACATGGGATAGGTGGCGTTATAAATGTCCACCGACGGTTAATGACAGGAGCAGATTACAGATATTGCGTGACAAATTGACAACCCACCCACGTCCGTTTCGTTGTTTGCCCGCCGGCTGCCTGCCGTTTGTCTACAAAACTTTGACTCAGTTTGTTTGGAAATTGTTTGAAGGAATGGTCCATTGTATGAGCAGGAAGTTTGAAATTTTGATGGGATCCTCTTCTCAAGCGACCACATGTACGGAGCGTTGGTGTCACAGTTGGTTTTTTTTAATTCAGCTAGTGAATTCATGCTTCACATGTGCATGTGTGTGCTTTAATGGTAAAGCAAAGGGGGTCTACCCGATGTTCCCAAATACCTATGTTTCCCAATACCGATGTTGCCCCTAATCCTTAGGATTAGGGTTAGGATTGGGTTAGGGTTAGGGTTAGGTTTAGGGTAAGGATTTCGGGGAACATCGGTATTGGGGCACATAGGTGTTGGGTAACATAGGTATGAACCCAAGCAAAGTGCCAACAGTTTTAAAAGTCTCTCTGGATCTTGTTGTTAACTTGCAAAATCGACGTTTCATCATGTGTGTACAATATTACTGCATGTCCCCATTCAATGGCAACATACTTATTAGACAGATTTTGTCAACAATTTTGTCAACAAAATGTTGTCTAAAACCACCCCCCCCCCCCCCACCCCCACCCCCCAAAAATAATTCAAAAATGGCCAGACAAGCAGAACTTGAAAAACAAAATCATCACTCCATCTTCTTGTATCTGTGCTCTTCATTAGGAATCTTCCGTCAAAACTCCATGTCAGCGTTAGGCTTCAGACTTTGAACAACTCAAAAGTACAAAAAAGGTTCATAAAAGTGCAAGTTACAGTGGCAGAAATGGATGTAATGTGTTAGAAGGAAGTGCAGTTTCAATCATTTACTGGTCTTAATTCAGTGCATATAGCTCTCATTTCCCTCATGCTAAATTGACTGTTCCCTTCAAGGTTATAAGCCCAAATGCAATGATGATTTATGAGTTCTGATGATCGGCATATCCGTCATGCCATCCCACCAATGTAGGCTCTATCCTGAAAAGGAGAAAAGTTGATGGTTGTAAGGCGTGATTTGAACAAGACAAGGCATTTTTAGAGTAGTTTTAAATCAATTTATGAAATACATGTATGAATTGAATTGAGTTTGAATTGAGCTTATAATTGTTCAAAATTTAGTTTATTTATGTGATGTGTAATTAACTTTTAGTGTTTGAATATTGAGCTCGCCAACCATATGTAATTGCCTTTTAAGGATAAATAAAGTATTTTGAATTGAATTTGAAAAGCCTACAGTAGTAAAGCTGGTCCCAGAGTGCACAAGTTGTATTCAATTGATCCAGAATGGCTATTTACTGGAAGTCTTTCTATGTATCTGGTCTACACAATGGGCCAGATTTAGCCCATTCATTGGCATTACGAAGTAATCCTATACAATAGCACTGCCCAGCTCTATTTATCAGTCTACAACCAGTCTAAGTCTAAGTGACAGTCGATCAGTCAGCCAATCAGATAGACACAAAGAGGACGCTAGGCTTGCCCTCTGGGACCAGCAAAATTGACCTATCGCGGTAGAATCGCGTGAGAATTGCGTCAACGCAGCTTGTGATAAATTGTCCAATTACATGATATCCATCGTCAGTATTGACGGACGGATGCCTACATGATATACATGTACAAATGGACGCTGAACCCGCAAAATCTGAGACAAACAAAATTTAGTGTACAAAACTCCATAGGGTTGTCTAAGGGGCGTGGCTAACTCGTAAACGGCAATATGTCAATTGTTGAACAAGCCACAAACTGACAAGAATGTATTAGGCCAAAAAAAAAAAGTCTCCGGTTTCTGGTATGCGCGCGCGTCGCCGTAGCCATGCGCGTCGGCAAAATGAAAAAGTTTTTTTTTCAATGATAGATGATGTCTCAAAATCGCCAAACTCACTGATTTGACTGGAATTCTGCTGCTGCACGATTTTAACGTGTTTTTAGATGGGGTGACGATCGAGAAAAAGCTTTATGTGGCCTTTCTGGACTCCCATATAATTGCGCTAAAGTTTAGTCGGGCACCATTTGCAGTCATCAGCTGACATTTGAAGCAAAAAAATCGGGTAAAAAAAAAAAACACCGCGTCGCCGCACCACTTTTTGGGCAAGCTCCATACCAGAAACCGGAGACTTATTTTTTTTGGCCTTACTGCAGCTTACAGATATTGTGTGTATGTTTTTGGGTACAGTTTGTTTATTTATCTTCTTTCCCAATTTATGCAAAAAGTGATGACAGGAAAAAATTCTATGTACACATGTATGTATTACTATTAACAAGGGTCTTATACCTTACCTCTCTCTTGCAGCTGAAGATGCTCAAATTCTCCGTCAGGTCCCCAAGGTCAAAGTACTACGTAATGACAAGCGAGAAGGTGAGTAACTTGACGAAGAGTTAATGAACTTTCATCTGATTGAGAACAGGATTAGTCCAATTACGTGCACAACGTGCCCCCTGGAAATTTGGCAAATATGTGGTCCCGCATCTGAGTCAAATTATGATGAATTCCAAAATCGAAACTTCCCCAGATTTTCTCTAGAATCTTAAGGAGGGTCTCACTTGAAATTACTCATCAACGGATGGTAGGTGTCGGATGATCTTTTTGCCTGATATTATTTAATATCAAATTTGGATGATATAATCAGTTGTGCCTGAACACATGTTAGTTCTAAACTCCCCCCCCCCCCTCCCCCCATTCAAAAAATGTTACCTTTGAAAGATATTTCTTTGTGTAGTTGACCCTAGTCCACAATTGAGAAATATTGGAGGTGTAAGAAATATTCCGTTAAAATTACATGTTTCTAAAGTGGGTACTACGGAACCTTCTAAACATGATAATTGACACTTTATCCACAATGTCACAATCATTGTTACAAATAGTTCTGCTTCCGGTTTCCCTACCTACCCTATTCTGACAGCCCCTACCCTAATTTGTTTATGGGAAAAATGAGGGGAAAAAAACACCCAAAACCATCAATTGCTACCTTTTACCCTTGAATACACGCAGATGCCTCCATATGATCATACACAAACAAAAATTCCCTACCTACAAACTGTACCAACCCAGTTTTGAATGCCATATAATCGGAAGTAGAATTAACTTTTATTTCAGCTTTAACAATTCACTGAGAATTGTTGCACCTGTTGTGGTTGCACTAATGGAAAATGGTGGCACCTTTAAAAGTTGCATGGCTCACTTTGAAAATTTCATTCAAGTAGAAATTTTCTTGAAGGTCAAAATTGTTAAAGAATCAACCAAATTTTTTTGCACCTTTAAAGATTGCGTGCAGTGTCAACACTTTGATAGTCTTTTAATCAGGAATTTTGCCTTAGTAATAGAAATGGAGAATGGCCGTTATTTGGAAGGTCTTTTGATCTTGCACTTTTTTGGACACACAGCTGTTCCAACTCATCACACCTTAACAAGCTTCCTCCTTTCAGGCTCCACGTACATGTAGCTCCCAAAGGCTTCAAGTAGGTTTTTTTTATTTTTCATAACCCAAGGTTGCCAAAACGTTCTAGCAAGTGCACCTTAGGGAAAAAGCGAAAATCCTGTGTCAAATACGTGATAACCTGCACTCCCGGGGTTGTTTGTAAAGAAAACCATAAATGTTTAAGGATTTTGATAGATTTCCTGCTGTGCTGTTGTAAGGAAAGAGTGCCTCCTCAAACTGGCTATAAGATGAGGCCAATAGCAAACTTTCTTTTACTAATGCTTTCAAAACACATGAGCTACGGTATTTTTAATGGAATAAATATGCTTGGCGGGTTCTATACACTTTTATGTTAAAACCGGCCATGTTTAAAGGGAATATACATCATTTGCTTTTGCTGTAATTTTCAGAAATGGATGGAATTGGGGGGTTGGAAATATATAGCAAATATAGTTACACTGACTTTTTTGAGGTTTTGGGTTCGAAAATTATATAAAAACCAAGAAAAACAATCATTTTCCTGTAGTCTGGTTCCCTGACTCCATATAAGAAGAAACAGAGCAGTTTACATACATTGGGGAATTGTAAGGTCAGGGAACCAGTCTAGCTGGCTTGTTCCCGTTCATAGATGTGTAATCGATTGCAAACAAGTGCGATATGGTCAACAGGCGCGGATCCAGGATTTCTTTAGACGGGGGGCACACCTTTAGAGCATTTGCTGCGAGGACTAATGTATAATGCGAGCGCGTAGCGCGAAGCCCTTACGGCGTGGGGTCCGGGGCCCGCTTAACCCTAAAGGGGCCGGGTTATTTTGCCCATCTCTCAGCCGGGGGGGGGGGGGGGGGGGGGGGGGGGGGGGGGGGGGGGGGGGGGGGGGGGGGGGGGGGGGGGGGGGGGGGGCGGATTCGGCCCCCCCCTAAGATCTCGGCCATCGAGTGACGAAAAATTTTGAAACTCGATACATGCATAGAGCAACTCTTCCTTGACATACCCAAGAAATTTCATGACTATAGGTAAAAGGGTTTTGGAATTATGGCTAATTAATTATTCATATGTACGAATGGCAATTTTGCTCTGTGTACACGACGTATATGCGAAAATTCAGTTTTTATGGCGCGTAGCGCCGGAAAATTTTTCGCTACGCGGCAACCCGTGGTCCGATTTTTATGTTTTGGTATCAAAAGATGCGCAAAGCTCGAGGCTAAAAAGTCATAACAGCTCGGGTCGCGAACAAAATTTTTTTAGAGGCTATCACGGAAAATGTTGGGGGGGGGGGCGGATTCCGCCCCCCGGCCCTTTTAGGGTTAAGGGCCCCGGGAAATTTTGGATTCTAGATGCTCTGTGGTGCAATCTGAGGCGACTCCTTGCCCCTTTCCCCCTGAATTATTTGAGCAAAAGTTGTAAAGCTTATGAGGATTTTTTTAAAAATATACATTAATGTTTTTACAAGTTTTAAGGCGTGGGGTTCGGGGCGCGGGCCTACTCAAGGGCCCCGGGAAATTTTTGATTCTATAGATGCTCTGTGGTGCAGTCTAAAGCGATTTCTGGCCCCTTTCAGTAAAATGTTGTAAAGATTGTTGGGATTTTTTTTTCATTATCGCTTCGGTTTGCGGTAACACCATGTGTTTTCTTATTTTTTGTTCATTGGTTTAAAATTGTACTCTTGTATTTCTTCTGTTCTTTACTTGATAACCAGGTATTTTCGACGGCATTATCAATTTCTTGCAATTTATTTTGGAAAAAGAATTGGATAGGCTTAGTTTGTAGGAAGATCTGCCCCGAGGACTAATAATGCGGAGCGTGAATGTATTTCGGCCTGGGGTGCGGGGCCCGCTTTAGGGCCCCGGGAAATTTTTGATAATTAGATGCTCTGTGGTGCAATCTGAGGCGATTCCTGGCCCCTCTTTCCGAGTTAATTGAGCAAATTGTTTTAAGTTAAATAAGCATTTTTTTCATTGGTTTAATATATACTCTTGCTTTAACGAGCGTTTTAAGTTTCTTCGTTTTCACTTTCGTCTGCATGTTTTCGTGCATTTTATTTTTGAAACGGAATTGTAGAGACTTAGTTTGTAAACTTTTGCAAGGATGCTTTCTAATGTTTTGTATAAAGTTTAAATTTTCAGTTTATCAACAAGATAAGATTTTCTACGGAAATTTATACGGAAGCGGACATGTTTTGGACTCGATCCTTGAAAGCGCGTGGAAGAAATGCTGGCCCCCATGACCAATAGTGTGGTCCAAAGAGCACACTATAACGGCCGTCACACGTACACGTGCGTGTTTTTCGTACGGGTACATACGCTCAGAATCGCATTTCATAAACCGATATACTATGCAGGGTTAAGTATGGAGTACGTACGGTGGGATCGCGGTTTAATTCGAAGCTTCTCGAGTTCCCTGTGTCATACGGCCACACAATGTTTGCAGGCCGGTATTTTTGTTAGAAGGTTGCCCTCCTCCTTCCCTCCATTTCTCTCACCTCACCCTCTTTTCCCCCTGTTTTATTAATTTTATTTTTTTGTGGACTCAATTTGACGGGGGGCACGTGCCCCCGCGGCCCACCCCTGGATCCGCGCCTGGTCAATTGGGGCCAGTATTTGAAAAAAAAGCCAGTTTTTTCCAATGCTGGTCGGCCGATCCGTTTCGTCGATTTTTCGTGACTGCATTTTGCACAGGAATTTGCCGTCGTGTGCGCTTTCACGTTGACTGCCTGGCCGCCCCCCGTGCTGGCTTTTCTGCGTGTCTAGACTGTGCGAGGTCAGCGAGGTCAACGTAGGGGTTTCGTTTACGTGTTCTACTCGGCCCTTCTGCAAAAGCGTTCACCAAACGTTAGTATGTGGTGACCTTGGTAAAATATTTTTCTCCATGGTGCGTGGCCACCAAGTGCCCCTATTCTTTCATATGCTTCGCTTGCCGCCCCTGTGCCAAGTGCAACGAATACTCAGAAGGACTACACATTAAGTATGCCTTGCGCGGTCTGACCAATCGAAAGTTCACACTGCGTAGTATTTCCGGGCTATGCAAAACTGTCGATGGCAACGCGTACTGCAGCCTGCTCCACACCCTGGAAACGAGGTTGGGTCTACGGTGCTCGCTATTTGAAGCACAAGCATGTGACGTCGCGTGATAGAGTGCTGTTGCTTCCATAATGTGTTTACAGCTCCATGCTTCCACCACCAAGGCTGAGCGTTGTGAGTTCGCTGCCCGCCACGTATAATTCAGTGTCGTGTTATAATTTCGGGGGCCTGTTTGGGGTCAACGAAGGATCGATGCATTGCTTCAAACTCGCGATCTTAAACGCAGTCACAAAAAAATCGACGAAAAAGTGTCCGACCCGGCGGAAGACACCCACATTTTTCCACGGACGTGAAGCCGCGGTCTCGGATCCTTTCAGGAGCAAACATTTCTCGGAGGCCGAGTAAACTTGCTTTTATATAGATGGTTGTACCAACTTCAATAAAAGTTACCGACTTTTTCCTCGCAGACGGTCTCGCAAATTGTTAGAAGTTCAAGTTTACGTTTGTTGAAGAGTCCAATACTGAAACTTAATTATGACCTTCCTCCATGATTCAGACCGTTTGTAATTTTATGGTAACACTCCACATTTTCATTTCAAATGACACCTTCACGTTTTATTGCATTATGATTTAAACCAGCCTTCGCCTGTGTACTACAGTAACCTTTTCACTACGTTTTCCAAATCCGACTGCCTCACAAAAAGCCAATTTAGACCAACGGCAACATTTACAGACAGTTGCCACGGTACATAATTATCATGTGCGTAAATCGACGGGGGACAGGGGGAACCCAACCGGTCCACCCCATCCCCCCCCCCCCCCCCCCCCCCCCCACACACACACACACACATTTTGAGGTGGGGGACATTTTTTGGTGTCCCCCCCCCCCCCACTTTTTCTTCCCCGAATAAAAATATTGTAGCCTACAATAATGATTCTATTGCACAGAATACATGTAGCTGATTCAATTACTCCAAACTCAAAACTTTCAAAGATGATCTTTGGTTTTAGTGGTCAGAAATTGCCTCAGATCACACCACAGAAATTGCTTTTCTATAACTGCATGTTTCCCCAACTATATCCCCCATTTACATTTAATTCCCCACATTTTCATCCCCAACACTACGCCCTACCCGATCTATGATCGGGTAAATCAGCTTGTTGTATATATTTCAGAAAACTATACATATTTTTGTTAGGTCCTCGCGCTTCCAATTCAAAAGATGCCATTTGATATTAAACAAATACAACATGGTTTGTCGGGAAATAGTGAAAACTAATGACCCCAAAGTGTTGGATGATTGGGACTATCTCTGCCAAGGCGAAGCTTCTCCACGGTACGCACGTAAAGCGTACATGCGTCGTTGGTAAAGAGATAACACAGTACTGGAACAAATCTAACTGCTGCGACCCAGGTGTGTGATACTACCTCCCTGGCTTTTGCGTCACGCGTGCGTACGAAGACGCGGGATGCTAGTAAAAGTTTTCACACGGTTGAGTTGTTGGAATGGACCAATGAGATGCCGCGGTTGCCTGATGAATATTTATGAGGTATAGTAATTGGAATTGCGGCCTCTCATGTACAATCCCTAAATCAGCACACAGGGCATGGTTCTCTTTCGATCAGCCATGGTTCTCATTCAGCCGGTTAGTGTGCGTGACATTCGAGATCCCAGTGGATGGGTAATCTTAATGAATGTCATCAAATATTCAAAAACCTCTGCCTGTGGGCACACTTTCTTAATCCACCTGCAATTAATGTTTTCTTCAAAAGGAAGAAAACAATGGTTCATGGTTCTCATTCAGCCGGTTAGTGTACGAGACATTCGAGGTCCCAGTGGATGGGTAATCTTCGCTGTATTTAATGATTCAATGATTGTTTTCTTCCAAAGGATACCCTTTCAGGCAGAATAACTCCACAGGGTATTTGTTACCAGTCCTATCCTCACTCAAGGTTTTTTCAGTAAATTGGGGGTTCGTTTCTGGATAATTACAGATGTTCCTACATGCCATAGATCTAAATGATGTGCCTCTGTGTGATTTGTTGCAGGTCTTATACGATCCCGGGTACGAGGCGCTGATGCTGCCACTGCCAGTATTCTAACGTTTCTAGACAGTCACTGCGAAGCCAATGTCGGCTGGCTACCTCCATTGCTAGATAGAGTTCATCAGGTCAGTCTGGAGTGTGGGCTATGAGTATTTAGCCCCCCCCCCCCTAGGGCCCCCCCCCCCCCTTTTCACAGAAAATAATTCCATACATACATGTATATACCGGATTAAGCATGTCCAAGCCATCCCAGCGGTTCTGTTGATTAGATCTGTGTGGCGCCTATGCACATATGTTGATGTATTAAACTCAAAGGCATTTTAAAATTCCATTCCCCGTGCTGTCTTTGAGTTTCATCTTGAAAAATAGATTACCTTTTCTAAATTGCTTTTTTTTTAAGCAAAGAAATTATTGACTTTTGAATGAGACACTGACCAAAAACAAATTGGTCCACGTTTAGTTATTGAATTAGTACTTTACAAGTTTTGGAATAACTTGCAACCTGACAATAATGACATTCTCACAGCGTAGGCTGGTTCGGGTCCACAATCACATGGGGAGATGGTTCAGGTTACTCTTCTAATATGCATGTGTACAGGTACCGGTACATGTATGCCCCATGTTGCTTGTTCCAAGATGTTTGGAGACTTGCCACACGCATTGGATGAAAGATTGGTTCAAATTTATATCCCGTGTTGAGTGATTTCACTGCTGTGAGACATGAAGTTGTCATATAAAAAAGAAATGAAATCCTTTTTGCAAAAAAAAAGGAAATTTGTAGCCTAGTCATGACAGTCATTGACGTAATAAAAAATTATAAAGATTACATGTACTTACATTGATTTCAATGTAAAACAAGTTGTTTTCCCACATTAGAAAAAAAATATTTCTTTTTAAATGAAATACATTGTTAATAACAGATGCAGCAAGGCAAGAAATTGTATCTGTTAACGCCCGAAAATAGATACAGGGTTGGATATGCCATCTATTGCCCAGGCAGTTGATGGACACTAAGATAGGGAATTGATCCGAGTCCTGATGACGAGAAGCTGGTAAAACCCTAGGGGGGCAACACGCACCAAATGCCATCAGACGCAAACCTGTGTGTTACCTGAGTAGGGCAAATCTCTTTGTTACTTGCGATATACGCTGAGATGACGATCTGACGTCAACTGAGCCGGGGGGGGGGGGGGGTTGAAACCGGCAGGTTAGATTGAGCGTGACAGGAGGAGGTGGGGAAACAAGTGTCTGAAGGATGTGGAATGAGCTGGAACTAAGACTACACTTCCCCCCTGCTTCAGCCTTTTCTCAAGGGAGTACGGTCGGGTTGGAACTCTGGGGCCAGGAAAACATTAAATTTCCTCCCGTAATTCCAAGATTGAGAAGAAAAAAAATCCTGTGTTCTGAAAGTCTAGGTGCAATAGCTGCAGGACGTTTTTTTGCTTGGGCTGAAAGTTACTCATAATGAAGCAAGTCAGTTTCTTTTATGCTGAAGTCGATGAGCATAAAATCCAGAAGATTGCACACAAAAGCACTTAAGTTAGCCTTAATTCAAGTCTGATTTGTGATGATTGTGCATAACTTTAGTGGATTCAGTGTCTTTGAATATTTCTGGAAAAGTTCCTTATTAATACATGAAGGTTCTGTTGTAGATTCAGATACCATGCCCAAAGCATAACAGAAAATATAACAGGCTTGAAAATTCATCCATGAAGCTTGTAAATGGTTTCATGAGCACACGTCTAGCCTTTGAAGCTGGAATGTGCAAGAATCTTTACGCGATAGCATAACTCCACTTACACCACATTTTGTGGCGTCAGTTGCATACCAATCCATACATGTATCAGTTTAGATGTATTTCACCAAAATTTCACAATGCAAACGTCTGCAGCTTTAATAGAGAACAAGTTTTGGCATAGCTCACACAGTCATTTCAGATGGTGTACATGTATTAGGTATGCCCTACAGGCTGAAATGCACCATAACATTACTGATTTATCATGATAATTGTAAGGTCTTTTATTGCCAAACTTATCAAGGTTGATACAAATTACAAGAAATTCACAGCTTGTCCTTTGAAGTAAATGATTTTTGAGAGTAGGACAGAACTGTCTTCAAAATTGCAGACCTGTCGGGGTGATATTTGACAACTGTTAACCCTTACTCTCTGAGGGTAGTTTACTGCATGTCAGTTGGTTATGCCAATGCCCTCCAGCTGCAGTTTATTGGCAGATAGTTTGTCTTAACAGTGAAGGCTCCAATTGGCAGGAGTTGGAGGCCCTGGAGGGTGCCTGATACTGACCAGCTGGGGGCACTCACTTTGTTATCAGAGGACTCTCATTGTTCTCTGTGGCATGTATTGGAGTGCCTGTCCAGTTACCCTTGAAATGACATGGCAGATATTGGAGGGCCATGCAAAAAACATAGGAGATTTTCTTGAGGCACATATTGGCATGCGTTGGAGGGTCTAGTAGGGTAAGGGATTATGTTGTGAAATCATTTTACTTATTGCACAGGTGCCTGACATACAGGTATTTGTTGCATAAATCCTATGTTAAACTTTAAATTATGCAAGTAACTTGCGTCATAAGTTTTGTGAAATTGTCCACTGATAACACAAACATTAAGTACCTAAGATTGGCAGGACAGACCTTGCATTACAGCTTCCCTGGGCTGGCTACTGAGGCCAAACATTAACCAGTGCTATTTTGCGCATGGCCGGATTGGCCCGCATTGATTTTCCATGTGCAAGCAAGTTTCTGAAATGGGTTGTCATGCTGAAAGCCACAGGTGGCTTCGTTGCACAGTGGAATTGCGCGCACATTGAGTTAATTAACAGTGCTATTTTATGGATCAAACTGCAACTTGCATTAAACTAATTCTCTGAAAGGCAGAAGCATTATCTTGTCAATCAAAGTTGTTCTTGCCCTTGACAAAAACGTGACCTGCAATTTGTTCACCCTTTGGAGGCTTCTCCAGCCACACAGGTGATAGTTATTGATGTAAGATCAGAATTTGTTTTAGTGGGGTTCTGAGGCGTGCGATCACAAACAGACAATCTAGTATCTGAGCAAACAGTGTAGCTTTTCGCTCAAGCAGACGCGTACGTTGACAGCTTCCCGAGATGGGCCTATTTTGCAGTCGTTTGTAGACTGTGTTGTTTTATGCTGTGGGTGGACTGTGAGAGGTTTTGCTTTGAAATTCAACAACTACTGCCTGCAGAGGGACGAGTCAGTTAGGATTTCTCAGCAGAAATTGAGACCGAAATATCACGTTTCCTCTTTTGCACTTAGGTTATTCTTTGCAATCACCGGTATGGAATGAAATTTGAATTAAGACAACAAACGGCACCTGAGGATGTTACATTCTTGTTTGTTCAGAATGATGGCCTGCTCATACTTCATGCGTACATGAATGTAAAGCATATTTGGTTCACGAAAGTTGCCTTAAAGGTAGAGTATATCATTTGCAGCTATCCAAAAAGTAATTGACAACATTATTGTTGAAGAGAATACTTGGTTTAAAGATAGTTACACTATTACTCCCTTGGAAATTGTGCTTTTTGGCATGCTATCGTTTTGAAGAAAACAATGAAAGAAATTCATTTCCATCTTTGGAAATTTCCGTTAGTAGTTCATTTCTTAATTCGGCGAAGCCGTGAATGGTTGCACGGTAGCTTTAACTCGTTGGTTCAGTACGTGACATCGCGTAGCTGCAATCGGCTGAATGACAACGTGTCCCAGACGCTGATTTTGGGCGCAATTGAAAACATGACTCGGCAACTTTTGAATTTAAAACGAGATCCTAGAATGTTGTTTTCTCGGAATATACAGCATTCACTGAAAACTTCATCATGTTAGTAGTTAAGCACCCCTTTAGATTTTGATCACTTTTGTTGCTTCAAATGAAAAACATGGCAAATGGCGTACTCTACCTTCAAAGTGCAATAAAATCTGTAACTAGAAGCATATGGACCATATACCCTGCCTGTGTTTGCATATGCAATTAATTGTTGAATTTGTTAATCACTTTTTAAAGAAATGTTTATTTACAACTCAAAACTGTTTCCATGCGTGGGAGTGCGGTCTGGTGGTTAGGGTTTGTGACGCATGATCAGATGCAGAGGGTCGGGGGTTCGAATCCAGCTACTGGTCATGTGTTGTGTCCTTGGGCAGTATAACTGGGTACTGGCATATAGCTGGGTACTGAGTTTCATGCCAAGGAAGGCGGAAATAACACCAGGGCTGATGGACCACATTGGCTCGTGACAGACTTGACTTGCATTTGTTGCAGTCGCTAAATAATGCAAAACCTCTGATGTACTGTGCAACATACATGATTTGCATGGTTATAAAGTGCAAACACAGGGCATATAGGTCATTGTATAACCATATAAGGTGATGAAATGGACATGCAAATGAGAAATATGCAAATAGGGAAACTTTCAACCAATAAGGTGCTGCGTGAACATGAGTCTGCAGTGAATCAAAGTTTGTGCACACCGGGACCCATCACTTTGTCACAGCTGTCGACCGGAGGCCTTGCGTTTTGATATACATCGTCATCTGAGTATAAGTCTCCTGTATTCAGACATTCGAAAAGCCGTTCAGACAGTCAGCAAGCTATATTTGTTATTGAACAAAGCAGTGGTGCTTTCGTAAGGAAATTACTGAGTGAGAAAGAACGGTCCCTCCATTAGAACAATGTGTCCTAAGATAATAGAAGGACTCCCTGTTTTTGCTGAAAATAACAAATGAGCAACATTTGCATGTGTGCAAGTGACTTGTTCCTATATATACAACAATTTCCATTGGTCTGACTCGTGACTAGAGCATTGTTTTAAATCCAGATACTTAAATCATTTCAAACAACCACAATTACAGTCCGTACTTTGACATAATGTGCATATCCTAATCATTTTACTCATCAAATGTTTCACTTACTCCCCCTTCAAATCTTTGGAATAACTTGGTCTTGCATGATTCTGGATGATGCCAAGATGAACCCAAGGCATGATTTATTTTCTTCATAAACAACCAAGTTATATCACAGGCTTTCCAGCCACTCTGGAATTTGGGGAAAACACCGAAAAATCAGTGAAAACTCAGGAATTTGACAGTGACGCAGAAGGGAAAGGTTTTCGCGAGTTTGGTGTATGCGTCTTGTACCACGTGTCGAAGTTGTGTGCATTGACTCACTGGTTCTGGAGGCTTTTTAGTGCGAATATTACACAACTCTCCAGACAATAACAAGTGACTGTGCCAGGCCCCATACTCTGGGGGGGGGGGGGGGGGGAGGGTTCGGGCAGTTAAAGTGAAAATACTTCTCACGGAATTTTGGAAATTTCTCAGGGAAATATCAGGGAAAACTCAGGGATGTTTAAGTTTCATAAAATGCTCGAAACCCTGTGAATAAACCCTTGCATTACAACAAAACATAACACCAACAGAAATTCCAGCCCATTGCCCCTAACCCATCCACTGAACGACAATTCCTTGTCGCCTCCCCAATATTTGATCTTTTGTTTTGTTCGCAGGATCCACAAACAGTCGCAAGTCCCTCCATAGATATTATATCAATGCACACATTTGAATACACAGCAGCCATGGCGGATCTCAGGGGAGGTACATGTATGAACACGTTTTACTTTGAAACCACCACATCACAAAGAAACACCTCATTGCCAATTCCATTAATACAAACACACTGTTTTTTCATTAAATTCGTGTCACCACTGTTCATAACCCATGCTTGGTCATCAGCAACCTATCTTCTCCTTTGATTCTGTGAGGTTTTGGGAAATGTTCCCGGTTTTCTTCTGGTGGAAATGTATTTAACTGCTTGCTTCCTGAATTGACCTTAAATACACAGCACAGAAACAGACATGCTATGGATCGAAATGTCATGCCTTTTTTGTCCCCATAAAATCAATTTTATGGGGCGATGATGACAGAAATCTGTTGCAAAATTTATGGAAACATTCAACTGTTTTAAGCAAAAACGGTCACTAGGCAAAATGTCATGCAGTGTGCATGGCTTAGGATTGTTTTTCAGTATGTTTTTGCACAAGCAAACAAAATTGCAAAATTTCTGCGCACGGCTGCATGATACTGAACCAAAGTATAAAAAAAGAAAAAAAGAGTATCGTTAGTCGGTCAACATCACAACTTGACGTTTTTTCCAACTTTCCCCGTTTCCTCTTGAGGCTTTCTTCTCAAACCCCACATGTTTTGCTGTGGGCCCTGATCACCAGATAAGGCCAACTTGTGCCTGGTTTGCGTACTTATTAGGGTCGTAATCAGAAATCAAGCCAGGGGCTTTCAGGATAATGATCAGTCCTCTGGATCACGTTGTCATGACGATGAGCGTCTTATTGTATTGGGTAGTATTCCTGGTTCCATCCCCCCTCCCCCCCCCCCCCCCCCCCCCAAAAAATTGTAAGTGCATTTTGTTCATTAAGTGATTCGTGCTTATAATGATCAATTGACAACTAAGGACAGGTTATATTTGTTTCAAATTTGTTTAATGAAAAGGGGCAGTTTGAAAAAGCGCCCCCCCCCCCCCTCCACATTGTAAGACAATATACATGTGCAGTCTGAAGTTACTAAACTCTTTAGTTGCTCTAGGGCCCCAAACTGCCCTGCATATTACTCACTGTAGTGCCCGAAACCGCCCCATTTTTTTTATGAAAAGGGGCAATTTGAAAAAGCGCACCCGCCCCCACATTGTAAGACAATATACAGGTGCAGTGTGAAGTTACTAAACTCTTTAGTCACTCGAGCGCCCCAAATCGCCCTGTGTATTACTCACTGTATCACCTGAAACAGCCCAGAACTCCATGGAGTATTGATTCTTCAGTGAATAAACACAATGTATTACAATTTAGTACAAGTGCTAATGGGTTTTTTACAGCAAAGTGTGGAAAATGTATACACAAACAGATCACAGCTGCTGAGACAAAAGAAAAAAAAAAATTTGCAAACCATACATAATGATATTTTGGTTTCATGAGGGTTCTTCCCAGAAATTGGTTATTTGATCTATGCTCGTGTATGTTTTATAAATTATCCTTATCCTACTGCTCCTAATCTTGCTTTTCATTCTTTTCTGTTTTCTTTCTCTGTTTTTGCATCCGATGACTCAAACTGCACTGGTTTCTTGAAACTTGTGATACGCAACTTCATCGCTGTCACTCATCGCATCCTCACCGGCACGTTGCTTCAATCTTCAACACTTGATTGGCCACTCATTTCTACTACTCATGATGCCATTGTAAAACTCATCGCCACTGTACCTGCTTCACCCTGCAAAACTCAAAACTTTTGAAACTCGGATTGTGTTTTTGCTCCAATCATTGCACCGGAACTCATATGTCATGGAAACCACGTGTTTGACACTCACTCTGCTTATCCATTGGTCATGCTTTGACTCGCTTGTGTGTGTACCGTGTGTGCTTGCAACTCATCCGGATTGGAACTCGCTCGACCATCCTACCCATAACTCACTACTCATGATGTGACTACTCAGGACACTTCCCGTGTTGTGAGTCCCATCATCGACGTCATCAACATGGATTCCTTTAAGTATATAGGGGCTTCCCCAGATCTGAGAGGAGGTAAAGTAGGACGTATTTCTGAGTAAATGAGGGCGATGTAATGACGCCATTTTGAGAGTACAAATGCGTGAGTGCCAGGTTATTGGCATAATTTTATTACGCCATAAAAATTTTATTACGAAATAGAAATTATATGTAAAAATAGTTCATTTTTAGATTAAAGTCAAGTTAAATAAGGTGATATTTCTACTGTTGGTACTCAGAAAATGGCATCTTCACAGCACCCTCATTCAGTGAAAAAAATGGCCAATAATTATTTATTTATCGCAAAATATTCTTTTAACTAAGTTCGCGTCGGAGGACGTGATAACACGCACTGGCTGGCTTTTATATACAGGCCGGGCTGATGGGTTAAGACGTCAAGACTGCCTCGACTCGCCTCCGGGTGACGTCTAAACACGCTAATCCTCGTGTCTTTTACACACACACAAAATCCGTGAAGTCTGTGGAGGCGGACCGTGTGTTGATCTTGAATTTGCCGTTGTGCACGGCCTATTGTTGTACAATTTACGCTCCAGTGCACACCCCGGAGTATTGAACCATGAGGTTTTGGCAAGAAATATCGTACAAATACTGTTGAAATGACTCTTGCGAATCAGTATTTGTGGCGTTTGGCTGTATATCAGAAGTTGGCCGGAAAATTTTGCCTATTGCTAAAATCGAAATTTTCAGCAAAAATATAATCCCGGCGCGAAGTGGTTAAGGAAATTTACATAAATTTTCAAATACCATTTTTTTTATGGTGACTGAAGCCAAACCATTAAAACTATTTCTTCTTGTTCTTTACGAGCAATGTGAAATCTCTACTGTGAATTGAAGTGGATTTCTGACTTTCCACGTTAATTGGAAGTGACTTTTGAATGGGGACATTGCAGCATATTCATAGATTCCCATGTTTTGTGGAGTTCAATTTTTCCATATCTTGAATTTGAATCTTTTGTATTGCAAACACCATCCAAAACAAATAATCCGAATAATGCTTGTGTTACACAGACATCATACTTGCATTATTCTCAATTGCTGGGAGATATTCCAGATGTAATCTCAGTGCGGACGGAACACTCTCAGCACTGTCAGCGTGTCTCCTCGTGCCTAATATCAGACTTGAATTCTACTACACTCACTTTAAGGGTTTTTTATTTCCCGCTGCTTGTTTTGTTTCACAGCTTGATCCAGAATACATTGCAAATTGAAGCCGGCTATCCCTGTTGACAGTTTATACAATGAAATTCAAGACAAGGTGCTCTTTTTTCCCTCCACAATGCAATTTGAGCGGATGTTTAAGAGAACGACCTATCCACCGACACTTGGAAGAGCGTGAAGCCGTTTTGTCGAGGGTCTGCTCATGTTTCCAACTTTTCGTTCCTTCTCCAAGACAACATTTCAGTGGCTGCTTTTAAAATTTTTGTGGAAATTGTACAGAGAATCCCTTTTTTTTTTTTTTTTCGAAAAGCAGAGAGTCACTCCAAACCTATCGAGTAACGGATGTCTCCATTTGGGAACAGTAGGAATTAAGTAAGACGAACCCAAAGAAAAACAGTGACCGAATAATCACATTGTTATTGGCAGCGCTTGGGACAGGTTGGATAAAAGATCGTGTTACTGAGGGAGGCTCATACCGAGAGCTCAACAGTGACATTACTATAGAGATGTTTTGAGTGTTTGAAGTGGGTTTTTTAGGAGGGGGGGGGCGTCTTTTTTCTTTTCTTTTTTTGGTGGCAGATGGGATGTAGTTTTACCCCTCCGTCACATTGGAAATAGTATTTTATCATGGTTTTGGCTGTTACTTGCATTAATTTAGAAAAACAATCTCCAAATTAGAATATTATACCATGGAGGAAGGACTATATACTAGCACATGTCAACCAAACTTTTGATAGCACGCTACTGAATGGAGGTCAGATCAAACTTACGGGAGCTATCATTTTTGAGGGGGTTGGGGTAAGAAAATTGCCCGTTGCGTGGATTTGAATTGTTGACACAGTTTGAAGGCAAAAGGATTATTGTTGGTTCAAATGTTAAAGCTGTACCGTCCGTACCACTTTTAACTTTCATCCAGAAAATGGAATTCTCTTTTTAAATTGGCTCCTTATTAGCAATAAAAAAGCTGTTCATTTTTTAATGAGGCATCAGACAAAAAAAAATCAACCTATGCATGTACGTTTAGTTATGTATTAATTACTTCACAAATTTCAAATTATTTTGCAGCTCGAATATAATTCAGTTCTCGCATCAACAGTTCTGTCATTGACTGAAAAAAAAAATCTTTTTAATACTCATAGCACCGAGGGTTTATCTTTCAAGTTACAAGGTCAGTCACTCCCGCCAGACAGCGCTCTGTTTTGATTACCTGAGAGTAAAGAGAGAAAAAAGGAAAGCAAAGTGTTGCATTTTGTTCACTGCCGGGGCAAACCCGACATGTGATTCACCGTCTTGTCTGGGACGGTCATCATCACCAGAGAGGAAATCCTTGCCATATCTTAGGTTTTAGGGTTCAGCGCTTTTCAGTGAGCCCAACCTGTGTATATATGACCTCCATGTGGTGTGTGCTGGGTATCAATTTTCTTATTCGCTAAGGATTCTCTTTTTATAAGATTTGAGGCTTTGCATGGTGGAGTATCGGTATCGTTTCGGCTTGCGGTAGCACCATGTGGTAATAACTACTGCTTAGAAGATATTTAGTTCTGAAAAGAACTTGTCCTGCTTATTATCAACTTTCGCTAAGTACTTTTTGTTCTGATAAGAACAGTCTCAGGCTCCTGATGATGACTAGAGCAGGCTAGTCGAAACGTTGAGACCAAAGACAAGTTCTTTTAGAACTTAAAGCAGGACTGTTCTTATCAGAACAAAAACTACCTAGTGAAGTTGATAATAAGCAGGACAAGTTCTTTCAGAACTAAATATCTTCTAAGCAGTAGTAATTACCACATGGTGTTTCTGCAAACTGAAATATACCGATTCTCTGTTTAATGGTCTCTACATAGGCTACTGTTTATTCCAGGCAGGGAGGCTCTGGGAACTTGTACTCCTCATATTAAAAAAGAAAAAGAAAAAAGATGAGGCAAGCCTGGTGAAGAAGACGCCAGAGCACACAAAATTCTATTCAATTGATTCAGAATAGCTTTTCTCTTGAAGTCCTTTTTTATGCATGTGGTATACACAATGGGCCGGATTTGCATTCATTGGCATTGCATGGTAATCCCATTCAAATTTCTGGCTAAGGTGAGACTTGGGATAATTCACAAATGACAGTCAGTCAGTAAGGTACAAAGAGAACTGTTGGCCCCTGTGAGACCAGACAAACAAAACAGCAACGTGGCTCTAATAAATGTCTGCAAAATGTGTTGACTACTTTTTAGTGTAATTTTGTGATTATAAAGAAACATTGTGATTATTGAGTATGCTTTTGGAATATTTCTGTATGCCTCTAGGGAAAAAATCAAAGAGATTTTGAGCAACTTGACTGAAGAATCTAGGGACTTGAAAAAAAGGTTCATTGTCCTTCATATAGTGCCATCTCGTAGAGTGGTGTGCATTTTTTGGTAGTATAGAAGCCAGGTACCCTATTGAAGTAAAACACAGATACCTAGGTACCCGTAAAAAAAAAAAAAATTCAAATCTTGGAAGTTGTCTGAAGGGCTTTATATCGTCAGCTTTGCGGGTTAAACTGTGAATTTCACAAGCGTCATCTCTTAAGCGTCAATTATGCACATAAAACATGAACTTCAACGCATAAGTGCACATAAACGTGAAATCTGTATTGGTTTTCCACATGGTTTTCATTTTAAAAATTCTCCACAAATGGCATTACAATTCTTAATTTCACATTGTCTTCGAAGTTGCTAAGTAATTTGTAAAATTGGGTATGGGAACCTGTGCAATCCCACAATCTGGAACTGGTTACTGACAAAATCTGGTTAACTCAATACACAGTTTGGTCAGTTAACAAAACACATATAAAACTAAAACATTTTTGTAGAATGTTAAGGAATAAATATAGAGTAATACCACAACATGAATAAGAAGCCATACTCTCTTCTTAATTTCGAAGGCTGTTTTTTTTTCCTGCAGGTTTTGATTGGAGTCTACATTTTAAATGGGAACACATGCCAATGGACCAGAGGTCCAGAAGGAAAAGCTCCATTGATCCAATCAGGTGGGTGGATTGAAGTGGCTGAGCCAATGGGAACACTCCGTTTAAAATTCATTACGAACTTGCAACCAATGAAATCATTTCTTTACAGAAATGCAAAGATGCTCATGTCTAGCTGGTTTCCTTGCTGAATCTACTTTGTGCAACATTCAACTTGCCATCTTTTTCATCCATGTAGAGGGAAGAAGCCTTGTTTAATGGTGATAATACATATAACCCTATGAGGTGGGGTTTTTTGGAGGGGGGTGTCAAAACACACACCAAACATTCAAACCAATTTTTTTTTATAAGACCACAGTATGTTAGTTGTGATGGGCAGGGCTACAAAACAAATTTACAATTTCCTATCCAACTGACATTTAAGTTTCTCTCCCAATGCTGTTTTCCAGTTTCACCCTGAAAAAATAGATTTTAATTTTAAATTGCTAGTTTCCAGCAGTACAAAATTTATTCACTTTTGAAATGAGGCATCAAACAAACAAAATCTGCCCACGTATAGTTTGGGAATAATAACTTTACAAGTTTCAAATCATTTGCGGCCGGACAATAATTTAGGGATATCTTTTTTTATATGAGCCCAAAGGTCGCACTGTGGTCCATTGTGCTGTGCTGTCTGGGGACTGACTAAAAATAAGCGGCAACCACGAAAACGGGCCGGAAATATACTTGTAACACAGGTGCCTCAACGGCGCTCCTTGTGTAAAATCCATCCGGTGTCGGTTTTCTGTCGAGGTACTTTGGATGTTTCTCCCAAATGAAACTGAATCCTGGGGCAATTGTGAGTTGAACTGAATGACCTGATGAAATCAAATCATGCCTCGCAGTCCTAAGAATGGGAGAGCGCTGGGTCGCCTTGGATGAAACAAAATCAAGTAGCAATGCAGATTGTGTTGATGAGATATGGGGGAGTATATGTAGAGATCGATCATCAAACGGACATTGGATACGGTGAATCAGAATGGCCTTTAGTTCAGGCCTCTGGGGCTTTTAGACAATGAACTGTGTTTTATAGAAAAGTAACCTGTTATGAAAATTGTTAAAAGTCTTCAAACCCGTTGAGAAATTTGGAATATTTTTTTTTGGGGGGGGGGGGGGAGAGAGAGGGAGAGGTGACTGATCTGTTTTTATGGGAGTTCATCGGCCTCTGTCCCCCTCATTGTAGGACTGTTTTACTAATTCGTGTCTTTATTGGTTATTCAAGTATGCAACAGGCATTGTAACTTTTCCTTGGATCAGCTGATTTTCTCCTTTTTTTACTTCCCATGAGTTTGAAGGATTTGAATTTCCTCTCTTTTTTGTGAATTCCCAGTTGCATGCCTGATGCAACAGTATCAAAATCCTAGGACATTATGTCAAAACACAAGATTCCACGTAATACAATGCGAACAGGCATTAAAGCAAGTCAAAGTAACATGTAAATATCAAAATATATTCTATACGCCAGGTTATAAAATATGAAATCATTTATTGAAATTGGTGAATGCAGTTTCTAGAAGGGTGCTGTTGGTATTGGTTTAAGGTTTGCTCGGTCCCTTGGGCCAGTGCGTGGAGGAAGTTGAAAGAGTCACTAGACATAAGTTAAACACGGAATTCCAGTCAGTATAATGCTCATTGAATTGGCCATATACATTGTATTTGAGCGAATAAAGACGCTGTAAAATTTTTAAAAACACCATGTTTTGGGGTTTTAAACGCTAGAAAAATCCTGTTTATTGAAGCAGTTTAGTACCCTCAATCAGATCTAATTAAAGATAGTAAAACAACAATCTTTTAATTGTGGCAATTTACATCAAGAGATACGTTTTTATACCTTCAAATGGTGTCGAAAACAGCGCCCTTATTTTTTCAAGAATAATTTAGGCCCATTGGTCACATAACCACTGGTACCAATTTCAAATATTTGTTGTGGTGTTATGACAACAGAAGTTCATTTCATTGTTCATTGTTCATTTATTTTCCACAGTGCCACATTTTTAATGATCGTAATTAATACAAAAAAAGGTACTATATAAACAGATAGTGAGACTGTAGAGGAACCTACTAAGAAGCTAAGCTTGTAATCGTAGGCCCCTTGTATACAAATTTAAAGTTGCTTTTAATACATAAAACACAGGACAGACAATAGACAAGGACAATACATACACTTTTTTTTTGCTCTTGAGTAAATGGCCTGCATAAAACATTGACAATTTGTGCAGATCACGAAAAAGTTAGCCTCTGTTTGTTTGTTTTGTTTGTTAGGTTTGCTTGTTTTAATTGTCATATAATGTGATTGCTCTGGACGCTTACAAAATTGTTTGACTTACAGTATGCTGTTGTCTTTTTCTTCCAAAAATAGAACACCAATGATTGCAGGGGGACTGTTTGTCATTGACAAAGACTGGTTCAACAAGCTTGGCAAATACGACACTGAAATGAACATCTGGGGAGGGGAAAACTTTGGTGAGTGCAGGAACCAGACTTTAAGACCACTCTTCTTTCTTGATACTTTGGTCCGGAGATGAATGATAATTTGAAGAGGCTATTTCCAAGACGTGATAAACGCCATTTTGTTACTTGTTAGAATCTGCTGTCCAAAGTCAGGTGGTTGTTATATTGTTAAAACACGATTTGAGAATGCAATAAAGCAAGAAATAAAGTTTAGAAACAGCTGTACGTTAAACTATTTTTATTGTTTACATTTTCATAACCGTGCACATTTTTCACTTTTTTCAGTTGGACATATCTTGTTTTGGAAATAGATCTTCATTGATTAAAGTACAGTCAAAAGTAATTTCACCTCGTCATATTCATGGGGGAGTGAAATGAGTTTTCATTAGACTTTCTTTTCCTCATTTTTTTTTGGTAAAAACAATTTATGAGCTTGACCCTGAGGGAACATAAATTCTGTTCCCTTGGTTCTCAATGGCTTTTCACTGGAAGTCTTTTGATCTGGTGTTAAAGGGAATATACAACATTTGCAAACATCGAAAAATAAAACTACCAAGTTTTTACGAAATACCTTACTAGGATGTTGGTAAATGACAGTCTAAAGCATCTTGTAAAAATGTGGCACCTGGTGTGAAGTCATCTTCAAGAAAATGTTATTTTTGTAAAAATGTCCAATGGTGGTCGGCCAATCACCGTTGGAAAAACCTAACTGTTTTTCAACTACTGCTCTAAATTTACTATTTTTTTTGTCACTCCAAATTTTGTTTGCTATTGGTTACATGTTCATGAACGGGTGCAGGCCAGCTAGACTGGTTCCCTTACCTTACAATTCCGGCATCTGTAAATTGAACCATTTTATATTTAGAGGAGTCAGGGAACCAGACTACTTGATTATTTTTTTTGTTCTTGGTTTTTACAGCATTTTCGAACAAAAAAATTCAAACATGTCAGTGTAACAATATTTGATCTATTATACTAACCCCTCAAATAGTTCATTTCTGATAGCATTACGGGTAGTCCTGTACAATAGCACTGCCCAGCTCTCTCTAACAGCCAACATCCAGGCTAATGATGGTCAGTCTGTAAGTCATTGAGTCAGCCAGTCAGTCAGTTGGTCAGATACAAAGAGAACTTTAGGCTGAGTCTCTGGCCCAGCATAACATTTCTGGGGATGAGTATTACTATTAGCCATAAACGTCCTTATAGAAGATCAAGCCAAAGCAATTTCTTTTTTTTTAAAACAGTTTATCTTTAAAATAAGAAGTGCAACCAAACATCTGTTAGAACTAAAGCATAGGTGCGGCTTGTCTTTTTCCCTGCCGACTGCTAAAGTTTTATGGGGTCAGGTTGTGGCTGACCTGTACAGTCGGTTGAAATAAATGACATGCACATGGTATCGGGTTTTGATTTTCTGTTTTGGTGTTTGGCATTTCAATTTTGCACACTCTTTCTCCAAATAATGAAAAGTTTGGTAAAAATTCTATTTAATAGTTAAAACTAGAATTTGGAACGTTCATAGGTTTCTCTACAGTAAGACAATAGAGGGCAGTATTCCATTTGACAGACATGCTTTTGCCACAGTATCCTGAGCATGATGGGACGTTCCTGGTATTTTCAATGAAATGCCTCCTGAGATTACCATATGTCCACACAAAGACCACGGCAATGGTCTATGACTCACCCAGGAATACATCAGTGTCAAAGTTTCAAGTTACTTTGTTTACATTTATTTATTTGTTTCTGTAATTTGTAATGTTTTCTTGCAGAAATTTCTTTTCGGGTGTGGCAGTGTGGCGGTAGCCTAGAGATCATACCGTGCAGTCGAGTGGGTCATGTATTCCGCAAAAAGCACCCCTACACTTTCCCAGAGGGCAACGCTAACACTTACATCAGGTACTAGTGGTCGAGATATTCTATCTGTGCTTGTCAATTTGATGTTTGTTTCATTGTGGTTCATTTGATATCTCATTCAACTGAATAACTGTTGAATTGAGAGAAAAAAAAACAATCTGATATGAAACAATCATCTTTTTGCGGCCGTATCTAAACAATTGCATGGGATGAGCAACTTTAAATATTGGTTCATTAGTCAAAGTTTTACAGAAATCAGACAAATTTACCTATGGTAAATGATGAAAACTACATGAGACTGAAAGAATTTAATAATTTATCGAAAAAATATGCCGATGATGTCACTCCTGAAAAAGGGGGGGGGGGGGTTGCATGCTGGGCATGAGAAAATAATTTTTTTTGTTACTACAGTAGTCTCGATAAATACTGAAAGGTGAAAGTAGCCCAAAATATATATATGTCAAGCATTCATCATTGTTTCAGAATCATTTGTAACATTTGAACTATTTCTTTTTCTGTGAACTTTTAACACATCAGCAACCCAGACCCTTTGAATACTGGAAATAATGCATCATGGAATAATCACGCACTGAGCACTTGGTCCCCTTAAAAAGGACCATATTGCTAGATACTTTTTTCCAGGCTGACATAGAGTCTGGTCATTTTCTTCTTGAGAGCAAGGACAAAACTTTTTTACACCAAGGACGCAGACAAGTTGAGTGCAGGAAGTAAATCTTGTTCAAGTGTTTTTCCCAAACACTTGATGATACAATCTCAGCCAAGCGCCCACTCACTGGTAGAGAGCTCATTTTGTTAACTCCCCCAGAGACCATAACAAATAGCGTTCATCTAGGATTGCTAGGAACAAGTGAGGGATTCAGGAATTTTGGAAGTTTGGGAGTTTTTCAGGTGGAGGGGGGGGGGGGTGGTTTTGCTATACAAATATGCTCCAGTGTGAAATTCATTTCATGGACCCTTTAACTGGACTGGATGCCACATAGTGATTGGCCAGCGTGCCTTGAAGCAACTAATCCGCCATATTGGGTCCCCAAAACGGCACAGTGGGAATTGCATGTCCTTAAAAGCAGTCCTAGGAATAGGATTGCTCAAATCTAAAAAAAAATAAAAAATAAAAAAAAATAAAAAACAGTCATAAAACACAAGTCCTAGTTTTGATGCCTTTCACTCTGAAGAAGGAATCCAATACTGGAAACTTGTAAACTGCTCTCGCGTTGTGGTTGACCCAAGATGGCAGGCAGCTGCTTCATTGCATTCAGCCAGTCCAGTTAGTATAGGGGTCACAAAATTGGAGAGCAGACAAGGTTATAGTCTGGTATCCCGTCCCTCATTAATCACTGTAGTGGGAGAGGTCTATAAATAGCCAATCCATCAGTATGTCAACACCACATCAGCAGGTGCACCTGGCTTTTGACATTGATAACTTGGGCAATATCAGGTCACCAGACTACTGGACTACTTTTGGCTCAGTTCAAAAGTCTTAGCATAACTTGCATCACACAATAGTTAAGTCTGCAACAATTGAGGATATAATTAATATTAAAAGCTCCCTCCCAATGCCAAATTGTATGATACTTTCCGTGCTGCTGCATGAGAACTGTCCAGGCCCATAGCCAGCCTGGGGGAAGTGGGGTGTCTTTTTTACCATAACTTCACTCTCACTTCACTCACTTCACTCCATGGCATCGCTCCAGGTGGAGCATACTGTCCTCACGAGCCTTTTCCCACTTGAGACCACTGGCTGTTAAAGGGGCTGCTTGATGGATGTAGAGATTCAGCCTTTCCAGGTCTCTGTCCAGTGTATCCCCCCATCTAGTCTGTTGGCGCCCTGGTCGCCGTCTTCCATGAGTTGGGGTCCAGTCTAAAAGTCGTCTCGGAATGCGAGACTGCTCCATCCTCATAAGATGTCCCCACCATGTCAAACGCTTTCTTGCTAACAGTAAAGAGACTGCTGGTTGGTTTGTTCTCTCCCTGACTTCTATGTTTGTGATTCTGTCCTCCCACTTAATGCCAAGGATGCGTCGCAAACATTTCTAGTCAAAGGAGTCAATTCTCCTCTCTTGACCTGTTGTGAGAGGCCAGGTCTCAGCACCATAGAAGAGGGTGGAAATGACACAAGAGTTGTAAAAACATACTTTCTGCCGAAGAGAGATTTTCTGCTGTTTCCAGATATTATCCAAGTCCTTGTAGGCAGCCCCTGCTTTGCCAATCCTTACATTTATTTCCTTTTCTACTGTGCCATCTCCTGAAATGTACCTATCGAGGTACTAGAAGTTCGAGACAATGCTAAGCTGCTCTTCATCCATAAAGTGGACCATTTTACCATAAAGTGGACCTTTACACCATAAAGTGGACTTTTACAGTACTATCACTGCGTTGCCATCCTGATCTTTCAGACAGATCATGTTGACACTAGATCAGGTTGCTAGCCGTACACCGCAACAACTACAGCGCAAATCAGAATAACGATACTGCGAATATACGTAGGCTATAAAGTAGTGCATGAGGGAGCTTCTGCTTAATATTTCCTGTTGAACTATCCCCGCATAGCCAAAAAAAATCTTTTTCCAAAGCTTACGCACACATAAACATTTTGAGTAAAACTAAAATATTAATTGCGAGAAAAAAGTGGACCTGCGGCCAATTTTTTGGGGGGGTGGTCGTTCGGAAAAAAAACACCCCATCCCCACAACAACAACAACCCCCTCACGCCCCCCCCCACCCCCCACAGGCCTTCTGCCTGCTTGCAACTGGTCAAAAGTAAATGCTTTTGTCGTAGTTTGTTTGCATAACTCGTGACCTGACTCGTGACCTTGAAGTATTCTGTCACAAGCCAACATGGCCAATCAGGCCGGTAATTTTTTTTTCGATTTCAATCGCATGAAACGACTGGGAATGTGACATTCCCCCTGGATGGGACGCTAGTCCATCGCAGATTACTCTCCAGCTAATGCCAGTACCCATTTATACACCTGGGTGGAGAGAGGCAAGTGGGGATGAAGTAGCTTGCCTAAGGACACAACATATGGCCAGCAGCTGGATTCGAACCCCTGACCCTCTGATCAAGAGTCATAAACCCTTAAAACTAGGCCTAACTCCCCCAACTTATGATGACCTCTAAAGATTTTTACTCAACTTCAATACTGGTAATTTTAGTAGCTAAGGAGTAAGTACCTTAGGAGTTAGTACCTCAGGAGTTAGGACCAGAAGTCTGGAGAGAACAGTCTTTATCAATAATCAGTGTTGTAGTCAAGTACTTTTTTCCGAGTGCCGAGTAATGCCGAGTACTTAGGTTGCCGAGTACGAGTACTTGTACCTCCAAGTACAAGAACAGGTCTCAGAGTACGAGTACTTGTACGTACGAGTACTAGTAATAGTACTTTTCTTCCGAGTACGAGTACAAGTACTTGTATTTCCGAATGCGGCCATACGGCAAATGGTTTGTTGTGCGTAATTGGCCCAGGCTCAGTCAAACCGATATACAGATCGACCCACTCACGGTTGGCTGTTAAATGTGTTTGTCCTGACGTGCACAGAGGAAAATCAGGAAACTTTGATTTCTCCACAATGCAATCAACTATTTCAAACTGAAAGCATCGATAAAATAAGGCCGTGGTATATATAGTCAAGCTACACAATTTTTCCCCCGAGTACTGCTATTCGAGTACGAGTACTTTGATGATCGAGTACGAGTACTTTGACATTCGAGTACGAGTACTCCAAGAAAAAGTACTCGAGTAGTACTCGAGTGCTACAACACTGTCAATAATGGTCACAGTAGGGGCGTACATTTGAACATCATGTTTTAAACAACACTGTGTGGCTGACTGACTTATTTGCGGTCTCTTTGGTTTCCATTTTACAGAAATACAAGACGAACAGCGGAAGTGTGGATGGATGATTATAAACAGTACTTCTACAATGCGAGGCCTTCGGCCAGGGGGAAACCATTTGGAAAGTATGACACTCCGTTACGTTTTCAACAAACAAAGCATTTGGAAAAATTTGTCTTGCAAAATCAGTCAAATATGAATTATTGGTAGATTCTGAAAGAGAAGTAGATTTTCTTCATGGCATATTGTAATCGGAAATTCCATCATGAATTTATGAATTGTCAAAGTTGGGTGTAATTTGTATTAAATATTGTTCCCGACTTTTTGCCCTGTCATCAGTGTGGACAGCAGGAGAGAATTAAGGAAGCAGTTGAACTGCAAGCCTTTTCAGTGGTACCTGGAGAACATTTACCCAGAACTCAGGTAGGTCTTGTCTTTTCTAATTTTTGGGTACGTTCGTTTAGCTCACCCGGGTGGCCATGGGTAAGCCCCGTGCCGTTCAATTAGCTCTTAACGTCATTCTCGGGGCTCACCCAGGTCAGCCACCACAGACCCTGCTCGTGGAGCAGAGTCACTGGTGGAAGTACCAGGCATTGTTCATTCCCTAGATTCAGACAAATATGGCGGCCGGACAGCAGAAATCTAAAGTGGACATAAAAGTTGTTGGTTATCATTCATTGAGTTCATTGCAACTTTTGAGGCTATAATTCCAGCCCAACTTTTTTGAGTTTTGCGATTGACTGAAAAGCAGTAAAATCTCAAACTAAGACCCAATCCGAAATGGGCCTTTTGTCAGTGGCTACGGCCACGGCTAAGGGTGTCACGTGGCTAACCCGTCTGCCTTTACCCGAGTTGATCCGGGTGAGCTACTCGAGACACCCTTTAAAAGTTTCAGAAAAGGTGGGGTTTTTTTTAATTGTCATCTAGGTTCCTATTGATTTTTGGAAAATGACACATATTGCAATTGGTCAAGCATCTGTAAATGTTTTTTTTGGTGAAGGAACAACTTGGTTGATTACATTGGTCTAGAGGAGTCAAAAGGGGCCATCCCCCCCCCTCCCCCTTTTTTACATAAATAACAAGAAGGCATACGGCATCTCAGTGTCTTTAGAGAAAAAAATCACCCCTTATCAGCTTTATGAAAATCCTTATACAGTGTGAAGATGAGATGAACAAAGCAATAGAAATGGTATGACTGATCAAGAGGCTCTAAAAGCTTAGTTTTTATAGATTAAAGAAAGTTGCTAATTTGCTTTGATAAATGTGATATTTTCTACTGTTTGTACCCAGACAATAGTGTGTTATAGCGCCCTCATTTGCTAAAAAAAAAAAAAAGCCTACAGCAGGCACTTCAAAAACAAAACCTATTTGTTTTGTGAAACATGCATGTCTGTCACTAAGATGACAGATTGACTGTTTTGTCTTGTTGCAGAATTCCAGCTTCAGGAAATGTGCAATATGGCAAGCTACAGCAAGGGGAGCTGTGTCTGGACTCGGCCCCACGTACCACCGGAACCACCTGGGCCCCGTCCATCATTCCATGCGAGATTCAGGATCAGAGTCAGGTCAGGCCAGCTTTTTCTACCTCTTTTTGCCTGGTCACAGAGGGCAAGCCTGGTATCCTCTTTGCGCCAGCTCACCGACTAGCTGTCACTTGTTACGCCTGGGACCAGCTTTTTTAGGCTTGTTTTCAAAGGGGGCGGGTAGGGTCGTAAAATAACCCACAGAGAGGGAAGGAGATTCAAATAATTTATAAAGGCCTATTTTACTTAGGAGTAGGGTAATGGAAAGAGGGAACAAAAGTGGCATATCGCATACTAGTATACAATTATTGAGTGGCTCAGAATGGAATGGGAGGAATATTATCGCAAGGTAAAATCTGGACTGTTCCATCTCACGAGTGAACTGAAAAAGTCCAGATTTTACCGAGCGATAATATTCCTCCCATTTCACAAATTAAAGCCACTCAATATTTGTTTTCTATAACTGACATATACATCCTTGTCATTTGATATATTGGAACTTTTATTTCAATACAAAATTGGTGGAAAATGTATTTCTCTCTTACAAAACCACCCCTTCACGAAAATGTTTGAACCAAAGCTGTAGTGCTGGCTCTTTGGAACAATTCACGCTAAGTGCAAAGCTGATCGCACACCAGCATGCATTTGCACACAAATACCGCGTCATGGAACAGGAATGATCCTAACTGTTCAGTAGTATTTCCCATTCCCCATGGGCAGATAGTACTTTTTGAGCCCCGGCGTGAGTGGGAGCAATAACGAATGTCATGTGATGTGAGTTCCACCAATCAAATGACAAGGATCTGTATGTCGGTTATATAATTAAGATTTAAACGTTGGCAGAAAACAGAGTAGAATTTTGCTAATTTATTATATAGATGGGGTTGTGTAAGACACATGTACATTGTACATTGGGGTGAGGCAGTGGCATGGGGGGCCTGGGAAGGCACGTGCCTCCACAATTTCCCAGGTCCCCCCCCCCCCTTAGTTACCCCTTACATAAAAAAACTGATCTTTTTTGCTTGCAAAGGAAGTGTCTTTTTGAAGTATCTTTTTGAGTATTATTTAATCAGAAGAGGACTAATTTTTACTCGATCCTAATCCCCTTAATTCCATTAACCCTTCGGCGTTATGAAATGTGAATAAATTCGTAAGGAAGAAGAAATTGTTCTACTAGTCTTCTAGTCACTCATGCACCTGACTCCAGGCTACATCTCTGACTGTTTGGAACGCCACGTCCCAACTCGCACTACCCGTTCATCATCTGCCATATCATTTATCCGCCCAATCACTAAAAAGCACGCTGGCGAGATGTCCTTTTCTTCCTCGGCTCCAAAGCTCTGCAATAAATCTACCACAAGCTCTCAGGAACTCCATCTCCATTTCTCAGTTCAGAAAAAACTTAAAAACTTACCTTTTCACGCATTAAGTTTCTTTCTCTTGTATGCGCTTTGTATCCTTGGGAAAAGGCGCTTTAGCAAATTCTTCGTTATTATTAAGAAGAGCGTCCTTTTGCGCGGACACCCCCCCCCCCCCCCCCCCCCACTAGATCCTGGCTATGCCACTGGGTGGGGGTTGGGTGCATAATGCACTGATTGTTTGTCTGAAGGAGACCACTTTTCGGTGATTTGACTTTTTGCAAATATTGTTCTGCAGTAGAGTATCGGATCCTTGTTACTTACAGAAAATATTCTAACATGAAATGTATGTGTGTTCAAAAAAAATTAAATAAATAAAAAAAGCATAGTAAACTGCACATTGTTTATATTTCAGTATGTATTACAACAAACTTGAATCATTGATCCTCGAACCTGATTGGTTGTTCCATGGCAACAATCCCATATCACACGATCCATATTGCACAGCATGTTGCGTCTTTACTGTGCATCGAAATTACTGGAAGATAAATGATGTTGTTCATCTATACTTTTCTGTATTCCACTCGCCCTATATATGTAGTTGTTAATACTGTGTAATTTCTATTTGACATTATTAAGGGATGTGCGAATTGTTCTGTTGATCTTATCTAGGCATGGTCATTAACCAAAGAGGACACAGTCCAGCAACAATTCAAGTGTCTGACCGTCAGTTCATCAGTGCCTGATACTAGGGTCTACCTAACTACTTGCCAAAGCAACGAAATTAAACAGGTAGGAATGCCCAGGTCTTAAGTCACAGTTAATCTCAGTTTTAGGGCCGGTTCATACAACAGAGTGCCAAGATTTTTTTGACAAGAGATTCAATCAGAGAATTTATTTATCTATTACATTGCTTTACCCAGGGTATGCCCAAACAGTTTTAAACTGGTTTCCATTGGGGTCCTGCATACAATAAAAAAAAAATGACTACAAACATATAGCACTGTTTGGGGAATTCTCTGTATTTGTACAGAATGATTTTTTTAGATGAATCTTTAACGAAAAATTTGAAGGAAAAAAAACTTAAATGAAGAAATTGACTGAAACGGGATTTGAACCTCTGACTTCCAGAACACTGTACTTGCCATGTTCAATTTTTTTCTTAGTGTTCATCGAACTGCCATCCTCTTTTAGCAAGCATTATAAGGTTGCATGCAGTAAATACAACCAAACTTTCGTGTGTGGGCCAAATCACGATTTGCATGCCATCAAATTCTCTGGTTTTTCGTGGGTTTTGTAGCCATGCAGTTAAAGGGAATATACAACATTTGCAAACATCAAAAAACGAAATAATCAAATTATCACGAAATATCTTACTGGATTGTTACGGAATGACAGTCCAAAGCATCCTGTAAAATTGTGGCTCTGACATTTTCAAGAAAACTTGTATTTTTCCAACGCTGGTCGGCCGACCAGCGTTGGAGAAAACTTCTTTTTTTTTCAACAACTGCTCCTAATTTTTCATTTTAGTTATTCCGCATTTTCTTTGCAATTGTTTACACACCAGTGAAGGGGTACAATCCTGCTAGACTGATTATCTGACCTAACAATTCCCCAAAGTCTATAAATTGCTCAGTTTAATCTTAAGTGGGGTCAGGGAACCAGACTACAAAAACATGCTTGGTTTTCTTGGATTTTCCAGCACCTCCGAACCAAAACATGAAGCAAGTCAGTTTAACAATATTTGCTATAACATACTAATCCTGCAAATACATTCATTTTTGAAAATTGTAGCAAAAGCAAATGTTGCAAAAAAGTATTAACAGAGGAAACGGAAGGCGAACAATAGACAATCCTCAATTTACACCATAAACAAACCTGCGTGACTTTGTGAGTGTTTTTACTCAGGGCATTTATCATTGGGGTCTATAATAATTTATTCACTGGTCTGCACCCATAAAGTCACCATTCCCATATTACCATTACAGAAGTGGACAAGAGAGGGCAGCAGACTCCGTCACCAGTTGAGCCACCTGTGTCTAGACCACCTGCCCCAGCGGGGCCTGGTTGTCCGGCCGTGCAGCCCAGACTCCAAGACCCAAATATGGACATTCAAGCCTCCAACTCCAGCTAGGCATAGACAGCGCTACCAGCGCCAATGAGCTGGGAATCAATCAATCATGGTGCAATTACTTACTGTACAAACTGCTGTTTCCTCTGCTTTCTGTTATTGCAAACCCCATTCTGATGCTTATGAGTGAGCCAGGGCCCAACTTCATGTAGCTACTAAGCAGTGGGATTTAAATCCAGATTTTTTTAAATTCAGTTTGAATTCCACTATTTGGTTTCCATTTTGGAAACCAGATACTCGAAACCAACCTTACAAAAAATAAGACTCTCAATTCCATTTGGAGATTATTATGGAGTACAATTACTTTGATGACGGAGTACGATTTCGAATAGGTGAGCCCAAGTACTTTGCTTCTCGAGTACGAGTACCGTGAATTTGAGTCCGAGTACTTTGAAAGTCGAGTACTTATGCAAGTACGAGTATTCCGAAAAAAAAGTAATGCAAGTTGTACTCGAGTACGAGTACTGAGTACGAGTATACTACAACACTGCTCAATCCGTTTCGTTCACAAGTACCCCCTCACCGGCAAAGAAAGAACAGTTGGGGGTGACATCTTGCCTGACCGCAATTTTGCCGTGACACGCGGCCGTACGTACCACTGCGTGTTCATAGTACAAATCCCCTGGTGTACGTGCGTCACACACAAGGAACGGTGCGCGTCAACCAGCTAAATGTCCCGCCCATGGGACGTCGTTGCAAGGTAAATGGGCGCCCTCTTTCGTTGGTGCACTGAGCCCATACTCTTTTGTTTTGGTTTGTAATATCTATTCATTTTATAAACAGGCCTTTGCAGGCACACCGCATATTGACTCCTCCTTGTACAAATTCTTGATTTGTTGATCAATACCCAGAGGGAAGTCCACATGGCACCAATGACTCTAAACTCATCATTTCCTCCCAATTTCAAAATTAACGAGGTTATACAACCAAACAATAGCAGTTGCTCCACTCTTCATGCTTTACTCGAAAAAACAAACTTGAGATAAATTCTAGAATGAAATACAAAAAATTTGTATTGAAAAATAATTATAATGTATATACACCCAGAATCTATTTAAGATCCCCTTATTATATATTATTTATGTAAAATAAACATATGTTTTAACTAAGGTCACATACATTGGACTCCATGAATGTTTTTTTTTTTTTTTTCGTTTGAAGCAACAAAAGTGCTCAAAATCTACAGACGGGTGCTTAACAATTAGCCCGAAGGAGTTTTAGCTCTGTGAATGCTGTCTATTTTTTAGAAAACACAATATTCTGGATAAAATTTTCAACTCAAAAGTCGTCATCATATTTTGAATTGCACCCTGTAGTGACACAATCCCGAAATCAGCATTCTGGACATGAATCCCGTTCAGCTGATTGTAGTTAGGTGATGTCACACACTGAACCGACAAATGGTAGTTACCGCGCACGCATTTGCATAATGTCAACACTTGCAACCATTCACGGATTCACCTAACTAGAAACGGAAATTTCCAGTAATGTGTCACTTGACACAGCGATTGAATCGACATTCTGTTATTGTTTTCTTCAAAATGACATCTTGCCAGAAGGAGTAATTTCACAGGGAGTTAAGTGCCATGACTATCTTTAAACCAAGTAAGATTTTTGTCATTAATTTGGTTGGTTACATTTTGGATAGCTGCAGATGGTCGACTCTACCTTTAAGCTTACACATTGCTACCACGCACAAATTATTTTTACATTTTTACAATTTTTGTTGGTATTCAGAAATTATTTTTTTACAGTGCCCTGATTCGATACAAAAAAAAATATTGCCTATTGGACTTTATAAATCAATATTATGAGCCAAGTACTGTCATTGACGCACACCAGCTTAGAAAACAAATGGTCCCTCTTTCTTTATTTACATCACACCTTTCTGTTTATGTGAACAGCTGCTTTAGACAGACAGCCACTATTACGCATCTAGCCTGTTTGCTGATCTGCTATTCAGCTTTCTCTTTTGTCCGAAGTGGAAGGGATAAAAACCTGGAACTGGTTTCAATCATTTAAAGACATAAAAATTGGTTTTGGGACAGATAGATGATGAAGTACATCATCTTGTTGTTGGGGGTTTTTTTGGTGGGGGGTGTTCTATTGAACATTATAGACAAAAATATGATAGTCAGCTGATGATTGCCAATTATTGACAGAAATCAGGCAAAATTCAATTTAGGCCAGATTTCTTGGGACCCTATAAATGTATAATGCATTACCTGTGATACATGTACAGTACCCAACCACAGGGCCTACCCCACACTTTTACGAGGTTTCACTGTACTAACAAGGCCACAAAAAGTGAGACGTGTCCGTTATATCGTAATGGATCTTGCTCCTTTACCAAAAGTCTGTCTTGTTCATTCTATTCATTGTCTTTAAACCAGCCAGGGAGATTTTTTAGTCTTGATAATTAAATTACTTTACCCATACATGACATGATCTGATCAGCAGATTTTTTAATACATGTCCGGATTCCGCTGCTTAATTAGTCACATTCTTTGTCTGCTGACATCACATTGTCCAGAGATGCCACTTTTCAGGTTTTAGCCTGAATTCAGGGTTTTTTTTCAAAAGTGTGACAAATTAAAAGTGCTGGATTTGGTCTGAAACATCCAGAAAACTCATTTTTGAAAGGGGGTAAGGATAGTTTCAGGTTTTTTAGTAGTGTTTCAGGCTTTTTATTGATATATTGGTGGCATCTCTGATTGTCATGCCAAGATAATTGAAAATGGATTCATCATGTCTCTTCGTAACTTGCATTTCACAAATTCCCCATGAAATATGTAATATTGAAAACAACAATCAGTACTATTTGTTGTATGTTGATTTGGAGCAGGTCGCATATTTATTATATATGAAGTATTGTGTAGCATATTTGTATTTTATGTATAGATGTTGGATGCAGAGAAGAGTATATCGTAGGGAGTTATTCCCTAAAAAAAATTATGAAGAAAAAAAACAGAATGGGAATGGGACAAAATACCTTATTGCCAAGCTAAAAACAAGTTGAGATTTTATTGGAATAAGACCATGTACTACGGCAGATGGGTGATGGGATTGTGCCTTTGATGATACAAGCATGGCATTTGGCACACAGAGTATGCCATGAGAAAGATATTTGGCTATAGGGCCATCGCAGATTTGTCCTTAAAAAAAATACAGGTAGAATAACAAGCTATGGCAGCCATTTTGAAAATTGCTTGTTAGTCTACATATGTTTTTTCATTTTTTTTCTTTCAAAATCTGCGATGGCCCTATAGCCACATAGCTTCCTTAAGACATACTCTGACTGTGTGCCAAATGCCATGCTTGTATCATCAAAGGCACCATTCCCCCAAATATCTCCCCTATCTGCCCCACTAATAAGGTGGAGTTAGAGGGCTGTGGTTTAGGCATGATAAACCTTTTGTGCATGAGGTTTACTGGTTTGCAGAACACAACAGAATGGTGGTGTTTGGCCGAGTAATTTTTATTTCCCTAAATCTTGCCTGTATTTTGGCAGTGCCCTTCAAAAGTTAATGTTATGTTCACCGCCACAGGGAATGGTTTATGAGATACATTGAGTAGCTAGAACTTGTGGAGCCCTCAACTTGGATAACAACTCACCAGTAATATTGTTTATCATTGTGACATATTTTGTATTTATCAGTTGGTATGGATCCACATGTTGGTGGATGACTCGTTAATTATGTTATAAACCTGTCTTACTTAAGGTTTTGTTTTAACTACGATATGCCAAATACTCATGCAAATATCAGGGGGAGGATGTTTTCTTCACACGTTGAATATCGATATTCTGCCTGGCAAGTCTTATACCCCGACCTCTCTTGCAGGTGTTCCACTGTACCTGCCCTCAGGCTACTGATCCTCATTAAGTCCACTTCACCTGCTGAGATTGATTCACTTTCTCTCTGTTTGCTTCAATTTCCGAGGATTTACCGTGCAAATGAAACAGGGGCCCCCGCCAGATTAACTTGAATTTGGCCACGGAATTCTCAAGGAATTTGTCTCCGAGCAAGGTTGTTGTCCGGGCCTGAAATTATTCAAATTTATGAGTGCCATGGAGACCACCGCATCTAGGAATATGATATGGTCGATGGCAGTCAGGAATTAGACTAGCCCCAGTCTAGGGCCATTGTACGTGAGAACAGTGTGTTTAGTCCAATAGATCGGCCCTAGACTGGGGCTAAAATGAGACAGGCTGGGTATTGTACTGGATAAAACAATCAGTGTACATTTTTATGCCATCCAATAGATATCATTGTATAATGTTCAAATAGGGTTTCGTATAAAGTCCATCAAACACGGGGGGGGGGGGGGGGCACGTCCCACCCCCCCCCCAACTTGGGATGTCTAAGGCCCTTGATCCCCCCCCCCCCGTGGTTCCCCCTCCCACTGTGTCCCCCCCCCCCCTCCAAAAAAAATGCACTCTCAGGTGCCCTCCCCCCTCCCATTTACCCCCCCCCCCCCCCCCCCCCCCAGTTATGCCACTGTGCCAGGATTGACAGAAACCCATGTGTTTGATGGACTTTATATTTAGCGAAATTTACAAATTCTCCTGGAAATAGCTGGAGATTTGTAGTAAACTAGACTCATTGCAAGTCTCCTATCCACCCTTCAGCCCAGGCCTTATTAATTTATACATTCTCTGTCAATTCGTAAAAAAAAATCTGGGATTGACTTGCTGAAAGTCTAGCTTTTGTCACCCACGGCTCTAACACCTGTTTCTATACTTACTTCAAATATGAAGGGGGAAAATCAATAGTATCTTCAACGCTTGCGCTCATTCGATCCCTCATTTTTCCTTAATTGAACTTCCCTTTAAATTTCCAGTTTTCCAATTATTTCTGCCTTGATTTACATACATGTACCTCAAATTACCCCGACTTGCCATGCGCTGGTCATCAGAGATGCATTTTAAGTAAAACTATGGTCACGACATAATCTGTGATAGATTGTTGAACGTAAAGTAAGCTGGGCCTGGGGCTTTTTTATGTAACGGCAGTTTGGTTTAGAAGTTCATTATCTGAACATGTGAATATTTTAAACACAAACACATTCACTTTGTGTAACAAAGTAGTGAACTTAATTTGTTAAAGAGAAGGAAATCTTTTTTTTTTCGTCACGCCACAAACTTTGGACATTTCAGTGTTTTAAAAAGGCATGTAGGATATTTTGCCTTTCACGCATTTTGTTCGTAATAGAACTACTCAAAATCCAAAGACGAATGTTGAAGTTTCAGCTCAGTGAGATTAATCTTTACGAGGAAAAAAAAACATGCACAACCTTTTGATCGTGCAACACGATTTCGTCAAAAGCACTCCTTATTTCCAAAAATCAGTCAATCGACTGATCGTTGTGAAAAAAACATTTCTGATTTCTTCTAAATGACAGCAAGCCAGACGGAGGGGTACTTTTTTGGGATAAATGCACATGACCCTATATGGCTTCAAATGTTTATAAATTCGACATGAAATTTGC